GAATCCCATGGTAAACTGGACCCCCACGGTAAACTTGACTCCCATGGTAAACTGGACTCCCACGATAAACTGAACTCCCATGGTAAACTGGAATCCCATGGTAAACTGGACCCCCACGGTAAACTGGAATCCCACGGTAAACTGGAATTCCATGGTAAACTGGACTCCCACGGTAAACTGGACTCCCACGGTAAACTGGAATCCCATGGTAAACTGGACCCCCACGGTAAACTGGACTCCGACCATAAACTGGAATCCCATGGTAAACTGGACTCCCATGGTAAACTGGAATCCCACGGTAAACTGGAATCCCACGGTAAACTGGACTCCCACGGTAAACTGGACTCCCATTGTAAACTGGAATCCCATGGTAAACTGGACTCCCATGTTCTTAGCTCTTTCGGTAAAGTCACGTTGCTTATATATATATATATTTTATTATTTTATTGATTCCCTTCAACGTGACTTTACCGAAAGAGCTAAGAATATGAATTACTGCAGTCACGAAAGCTTTAAATCAAAATTTGGACTCCCATGGTCAGGGGTCTCCATAAAAAAAACACAAGAAGAGCCATTTTTTCAAATTCGGTATAAAAAAGAAAACCCTCAGCATTTCAAGAGCCGCAATGCAGTTCTTAAAGTGCCACGTGCGAGCGGCTCCGGAGCCGCAGGTCGCCGACTCCTGTTCTAGCCCATGGAATACGCACATGATTACACGTCCAGGTGTTTTCGTTTGTGAGTCACGAGATGATAGCTTCGGGAGTAGCGCGCGACCAACGTCGGAGAGCGGGCTTAGAACAATGCAGTTTGTTCACGCGATGTGGTCTATTGTTCGGGTCGGTTGGTCGCAGTCACTTTGTGCCGTGGGTCGTCGTCACCTTTAATGTCCCAGCGAGCGCTCGTTGTAGTGAAGCGGTTGATGATGGAGCCGCCACGACCGCCACCACCAGTTTTGTTGACAGGACAAAGGCCGTGCGGAGAGCAGTGGTGGGGCGCTCGATGAGGATTTTATTCGGAAATTGTGCGGAACTCCACAGCCTGAGCTAGCGTTCTTCCTGAAGCAATTGTCCGAGAAACGAGAGAGAGAGAAAGAGAGAGCTCAAGTTTACCACGGGGCAGAGCGCGTGGTAGACTTGGCACGCCAAAGGGCATGGGAAGGTGGCTGAGTCACCGATTGCGTCTGTCCACCGCGTATTCTGCTTTGGGTGACCTTGCAGCCCGTCAATTTTTTAGACATTGTCTACTACGTTAATTCAATGGGCACGGGTACACCGATGGCGTCGTCCTACCACGTGCTCTGCGAGTGGAGATGACGCGCTCACTTTCCGAGTCCGGCTTCGAGAGGTTTTCGCTGTCGAGGCTGTTGCCTGAATGCAAGGGCTGGTAAACAGGCTTGAGAGAGCGGCGAACCCTGTGGACATTTATCTTGTTAAGCCTTTCTGAATCTCAAAAACTCATGTTCACGAGGGCCTTGCGTTGGTAGATTGGGAAATATTCACGGGGTGGCGCACACGGACAAACACGAATCGCCAAACACAATATTTGACACTCATACCGAGATAGATACGTAGAAGGGCAGACACACACACAGGCACACATATACTTTAGGAGCTTGGGATAGGGGGGTGGAGGTGGGGGGGTGGGGGGCTCTGTGTAGGTGCATGCGTTGCATCGCAGATACCCCACGGTGCGTGTAGGAGTGAGTGTAGGGGTGCGTGTAAAGGGTGAGTGTAGGTGTGCGTGTAGGGGTGCGTGTAGGGGTGCGTGTTGGGGTGCGTGTAGGGGTACGTGTAGGGGTGAGTGTAGGGGTGCGTGTAGGGGTGCGTGTGGGGGTCACTCACTGCATCGCAGCCCGAGCTGACGTCACAATGCACATGGACCTCTCGCGTCATCACGAGCCACGTGGGAGCTTTATTAGCGAGGCTACTCTACAATACACACGGGGCCCTAAGAGCCAAGCGGAGAATATGAATGTACACCTGGAAATATATATACCCGGCGGTTAAAGCCGCTTGAAAAAAGTTTCTCCGATGTTATCATCAAACAAACAGCGACATCTGCTGTAAAAGTGGACGCTAATGACCATTGTGGCATCTTTTGCAAGAGTAAGACATTTGTGTGAAGTGATCGGAGACCTTTTATTCCGTTTCTAACGCTGAATTGTCACGAAACCGTAAGTACGCTGAACTTCTTTCGCACCGTACGTAGCCAACCGTGCCAATCGGAGGTGCGGGGGAAGGATACCAAACAAACACACGAAAATATATGTTCGGTCACGGGGTGGGTTTTTGTTTTCTCTCACGCGGTCAAAGGTCGTGCATAACTCGGTCAAAGGTCGTGCATAACTCGGTCAAAGGTCGTGCATCAATAGCCGTAGGTCCTTGGCTCCTTCCGATCAGATTGAGCTTCCTTGACTGTGTACAATGACGGCTACTCGTGTAAGTCTGGTGACTAACAGACTTTGACTCGCAAATAATTATCTCATCTTGGTTAAGGATGTAACCAACGTACCCGTGTCTCCCTTGTAAAGCGAGAGAGAGAGAGAGTGAGAGAGATCATATCTGCGTGTTGTCACCTGGGTCACATCTTTTAACCTTGAACTGCGTTTAGAAACGGCATTGTCAATATCGCCGCCCCCTCCACAGTCACCTTCGAGACACAGAGGTTTACGCGGTCACATTCCCGTGGCTTCATGTAGACCAGTGTTCTTCACTAATATTCAGAGGGGGGGGGAGGGGGGTTGTGTGCCACTTTCGCCGATAGGACATCATCAGTGTGAGGGCCAGCCACGTATTTGAAACCATCGGGGTCTGTGACAGCACGATGGGGTGTTGGTCACGTGTCGTTGGGTATTGTCAGGGGCCGCACTGAAGGCCACCAGGAGGCCGCACTGAAGGCCACCAGGGGGCCGCCAGTGACCCGCGAGCCTTGCAATGAAGAACGCTGATTTAGAGATTTGCACGCAGGTGGAGAGAAAGGGCCCTGTGGAGTGTACCCGCACACTCTCTCCTCTCTGTGCAGCGCCACCAGCCCATCGGCGGAGGGGTGAGGGTATAGGGTGGGTGTTGACGAGAGAATCACTCGCTTTAGCTGCGGTGACGTGGGAGCTTGATGCTGGCACTATTTGTGACCATCGGTGATTTCTCATCAGTGCGGTCCACACCGACACTCCTCGCTCTGCTCACTCCCTTGCAAATGGCTCTACCGTCCTCTATCTTCACCAAGCCCTTGCAAGTTTGCTCAGCGTAACAAGCGTCCAAAACTCTTGATCTTTTACAACATTCATAACGCTGTTTGTTGCTGACCGCTCGGCGTTTCGGCCCTTTGCTCAGCAGAAACGCCAGGCTTAGTCCACGCCAGCCAGCCTCACTGGCACGCTCTACGTCAGTTTTTTTTTTTCAATAAAATCTGCTCCTTTTAACCCGCCACGGCAGAACTTTCCACGTTTACCAAACGTCGTCGCACGTTGCACGCGCCTGATGATTGGTAAACGCCCCACGTGGCAGAAAGGGCGCTTATTCAAATTGATAGAAACCCTGTGTGTGTGTGTGTACGTACGTGCGTATGCATTACGTGACGTACAGCACACCGCTTCAACTTAAGGAGAGCTCTCTACATTGCATGGAAAGTGTTCAGCAATCATCAGTTGCGTGCAGCAGGTAAGGACTCAATTTGTGTTTAAACGGAGGAGAGCAGTAATGCAAGCACCGGTGTTTGGAACATCCTGAGTTAGAGTGACACTCAGCTGGGCGATACGGGAGAGCGATTCACAAGCAACATTTGTCGGTGCAATAGAATTTCAAATTGTGTGGAGCACGGATTATGGAAGCCATCGCCCTCTATTGAGACCTATTGACACCCTCTACAGAGACCCTCTTAGAAACACGAATTCACTTGTTGTCGACCTCTCACAAAGCGTGGGGTCACAGAGGGGGCGCCGCGTATCGCCGCGGCGGCGAGGTCAGAGGCGACGCTTGCACTCCCGAGGCTGGTCTGGCCTGGCACGTGAGACTTGCTTTCCGTTTCGCCACGAGTTCACCTGGCTCACGTGAACTCGGTCCCAGGAGTGGCGAGACATTTGGTGGCAGGTGACGGTCCCATCAGGCTCATCCAAAACAGCGAATCCATTTTCTACACGGCGATGATGATGATGATTTAAAGCTTTCGTGACTGCAGTGATTCATATTCTTGGTTCTTTCGGTAAAGTCACGTTGAAGGGAAACAATAAAATAATAAAATATATGTAAAACAATAAAATTCTCACGACGTTTCGACTGTAACACAAACAGGCATCATCAGGTGCGGACAAAAAACAACGGCAAGAAGCATTTGAAAAATCCTTCTTGCCGATGACTGTTTGTGTTACAGTCGAAACGTCGTGAGAATTGTATTGTTTTATATATACTTTATTATTTTATTGTTTCCCTTCAACGTGACTTTACCGAAAGAACCAAGATGATGATGATGATGTTGGTGGTGGTGGTTGGTGACAGGTTTAATGATGGCTGCTGCTGGTGGTGATGGTGGTGGTGATGTTGTTGGTGGTTAGTATGGTGGTGGCCACGGTAGTGGTGTTGTTCCCGTGTCGTTCTGCTTCCGCACCAGCGGTCACACTCCACCATGTCCTTGTCCCACGTGCTAGTTTGTTCACGACACGGGACATGTGGCGCCACTCAATAGGTTTTTTTTTGCTGATGCTGCCGATGACGTTTGTGCGAGTGAGTGGTGGTGGTGGTGGTGGGCATTGCGTTGCAGAGGGCAGTGGCGGGGAGCGGTGGCAGAGCGGTAAGCACGCTACGGACCCGGCCACGAGTTCGATTGCCGCTCACGGACCAACACCGGTGACGATTATTTGAACCGGTCCTAGGCCTCCCCAAGGTCGACTCAGCCTCAAACGTGTAGTACCTGGTGCGATGTGTAAACATCGCCACTAGGGAGACAAAGGCGGTCGGGAGTGTTGCCGGCCACCCCACCACTCCCTTGTGTGCCGTGCGGGCCTTCATAGGTGCTTGCTTGCAGAACTGGCCCCAATGGTCTGTCAAGGCTATACGCGTGATCTTTGTCTTTGCATGCGTTGCAGACCATCTTTATCACAACCTCAACACACATATCCATTCATTCATTAATCTACCAATCATCTACAGATGCACCTTTCCATCCAAGTGCAGCCATACACTCATTCCTTCCTACGCCCATCTGTTCTAATTTTTCATTCCACTTATCCATCTATCCTTTAGTCTATCCACCCATCCATCCGTCCATTAATTCATCTATCGTTTATTATTATTATTACGTTCGTTCACCCAGGAGGGTCCTGCCAATCTATAATATAATCCATCCATGAATCCTCTATTAATCAATCAATCAATCCATCGATCCACCAAACATAAATCCATCCACTCAACCTTCCACCAACCATCTATTCAACAACCGACCGACCGTGCACGCACCCACCACCACCACCTGCCCCCTCCCAAAGCACGAACCCATCATACGCACCCACACTCCTCCACGATCATGTTGGGCACGTCCTTCTTCACGATGTTCTGGTCCTCGTCAAAGTACAGCATGGACATGGCGCTGAGGCGCGTGGGGATGCAGCACGAGCCGGCACCCGGCGCCGTCGTGTCGCGGAGCCGGTACTGACTTAGCACGGCACTGTGGAAGGACGCGGCCGTGCCCAGCGCGCCGCTCATGAACGCGGGGCATTTCCCCTCGCAGTAGTTGGCGAAGTACCCCGCGGGCGCGATGATCCAGTCGGCCCAGCCGATGGCCCCGAAGTCCACGTAGAAGTGCCTGCGGCAGCAGAGCGGCGCCGCCACGCCGTCGCACTCCAGCCCTCGCCTTCGCTTCCTTCCCCTGGCCCGCGTCGCCCCGCTGTCCCGTGCGCGCAGCAGCAGGAAGGCGCGGTGCGCGCTCGGATCGACGCGCGCGGCCGCCGCCGCCGCCGCCGAGGCGCGGCGCGGCCCCAGCGCCACTCCCGCGGGCCCGCAGTCCGGGCACGACACCCGCAGCGAGACGCGGCCCCCGGCCCGCTCGAGCGCGGCCCGCACGGCCGCGGCCTCCAGCGGCACGGCGCGCCAGCTCGCCCGCCGCAGCATCAGCCTCTTGGAGAAGGAGGGGGAGGAGGGCGCGGCACCGGCCACTTGGATTCTCACCGTGACGAGGGCCGCGCGTTGCCGGTTACGTGCTCTCAGCCGCTGTCGTTGCTGCTTGTGCTGCTGCTGCTGCTGGTGGTGGTGCCACTTGTGCCGAGGGTTGCCCCTTGCTGTGCCCCCACCATCCGCACCACCACCACCACCTCCAGACCTGCTGTCCACGCCTCCCGTCACATCGCTACTTTTGGTCTTATCTTCTCCTGCTACTACTGCTACTGATGCCGATGACGAATCCAAGTCGCCTCCTCCTCCTCCTCGTCCACCAGCCTCAAGATTGGCTCCACCCCTGGGCCCACCCTTGGCTCTGCCACCGCCTCTGACCCCGCCGCCAGCAGCACCTCCTGCCTTGCCGCCGGCACCCTCCATCCTCAGGTAGAGCCACAGCGACGCCTGGTTCACGTGGAGGCGGCGGCCGCCCTCGCCCAGCACGTGGAAGCGAAGTTCCCCGCTCCATCCGCGGTCTGCACTCCTCGCGTTCAGCGACAATCACGACACGGTGCTGCTTAGCGACTGTCAGCGCGGCAGTTCTCAACTGGGGAGGGGGTGGTGGAGGGGGTCGCGTCCTGCGCTTTCGGATACCGCGCAGGAGGAATGTCGTTTTGAGCGCGGGTAAAGTCGGCGCCACATCGCGGCGACCAAAAATAAAAGCCACGGATACACAACGCGAGCCGTGGTCGCGTCGCGTTTTGACCGGAGGCACGGGCACGTGATGTCTCTACATCTCTGTGTTCTGGCCTTTGGTAAGATGACGGGCGTGGGGGCGGAACAAATGGTCTTGATTGATAGCTTGCGAGCCACTGGGATACGTGGATAGCGCCATGCGATACGAAACCTGAGTTCGATTCCAGGCAATTACTTTTTCATTTGTTTCGTACGGCTGCTGGATGTAGATGCAGAGCAACGACCACAACGTCACGTTCAGGCGGTCGAGCCAGACAACAGCGTCAGGAGTAGCGGATTGTGGCGTCGTCATCGCCGTGATGATGTCTCCTTCGTATTTGTGTGAATCGGGGCATCGCACCGTTACACGTTGCACGGTCTGTTCTGGATGACCACAGTCGCACACTGCTGGAGAGTCACATTTTTTTTTAAAAAAAAGTTTCCATTTGTGCATCAGGTATCCGCATCTACTGCCATGGTTTGTGCGTTTGCGGTTTTTTGGTGGAACATGAGCTTAGAGACAATCGCTAACACATGGCACGAGTGGCGGGCGACACGTTAAGCAGCGTGGTTGAAATATGGTCAACAAACAATCCCCATGATCCGCATGGCATTCACCCCAGCAGAGGACTGGCACAACGTTGCACGTGTTTTATAGATTGCTGTTTGTGATAACGCGGACTTACGGGATGCCTCCAAAAGCGCCATTCCTCGATGTACGTATATGCAGGTTGAACCTCTTTCGCACCGTACGTAGCCAACCGCTCCGAGGTTACGAAATTAGTGATTCCTACTCGCTTCGTTGGGGCCCTCTATGGTAATTTTTGTTTTGCCTTTGTCGTCTGAGTCACCCGCGCCACTATTAAAGTTAATGAGACTTGTATCCGGTCTCGTGTCGAGTTCTCGTCTGGGTTTAAACAAATCAACTTGACATTTCAAAAAAAGTCTTCCGTCAAAATAAAAATTACAACAAGAAAAAGTACGCGCGCTCAACATATTCGTAAATACCACTGCTGTAGAGGGGGGGGGGGGGGGGGTTGGGGGAGATACAAAGGGCGACGTTTCTGGAAATGGGCCTATTTCAGAGCACATTCACCTGCCTCAATCTGTCCCCTGATTCACTCGCTCACTCATTCACTTCGCCCACTCACTCACCTGTCTCACTCACTCATTCACTCACCTGGCTCACTCACTCACTCACCTGTCTCACTCACCTGTCACACTCACTCACCTGGTTCACTCACTCACCTGTCTCACTCACCTGGCTCACTCACTCACCTGGCTCACTCACTCACCTGGCTCACTCACTCACCTGTCTCACTCACCTGTCACACTCACTCACCTGGTTCACTCACTCACCTGTCTCACTCACCTGGCTCACTCACTCACCTGGCTCACTCACCTGGCTCACTCACTCACCTGTCTCACTCACCTGGCTCACTCACCTGGCTCACTCACTCACCTACCTGGCTCACTCACTCACTCACCTGTCTCACTCACCTGGCTCACTCACTCATTCACTCACCTGGCTCACTCACTCACTCACCTGGCTCACTCACCTGGCTCACTCACCTGGCTCACTCACTCACCTGTCTCACTCACTCACTCACCTATCTCACTCACCTGGCTCACTCATTCACTCACTCACCTGTCTCACTCACCTATCTCACTCACCTGGCTCACTCATTCACTCACTCACCTGGCTCACTCACCTATCTCACTCACCTGGCTCACTCATTCACTCACTCACCTGTCTCACTCACCTGGCTCACTCATCTGGCTCACTCACTCACTCACCTGGCTCACTCACTCACCTGTCTCACTCACCTGGCTCACTCACTCACTCACCCGTCTCACTCACTCACCTGGCTCACTCATTCACTCACTCACCTGTCTCACTCACTCACTCACCTGTCTCACTCACTCACTCACTCACCTGTCTCACTCACTCACTCACTCACCTGGCTCACTCACTCACTCACCCGTCTCACTCACTCACCTGGCTCACTCATTCACTCACTCACCTGTCTCACTCACTCACTCACTCACCTGTCTCACTCACTCACTCACTCACCTGTCTCACTCACTCACTCACCTGGCTCACTCACTCACTCACCTGGCTCACTCATTCACTCACTCACCTGGCTCACTCACTCACTCACCCGTCTCACTCACTCACCTGGCTCACTCATTCACTCACTCACCTGGCTCACTCAACTGTCTCACTCACTCACCTGTCTCACTCACTCACCTGTCTCACTCACTCACCTGGCTCTGCGAAGCTCACGATCTCTGACATCTCCCCGCGCTGCCTTCTCTCTCCACGGCGAGACGAGTGTCCATACTTGGCACGTCCACCACCACCACCATCGTCATAATCCTCATCCTCATCAGAATCGTCATCATAATCATCGTTATCATCATCAGCAGCAGCATCCCCCTTGTCACTGCTGTCGCTGGTGGAAGCGTCGTCGTCGTACCCCGCCCTCCTCCGTGCGTGTCCGGCCCAGGTTTGGTGGACCCCGTGCGCCGGGGCCCCCGTTAGGGGTCGCGACCCCCCGTGGTGGTGAAGGCGCCTGAGCGCGCTGAGGACGGCGCGGCGCGGCACGGGCGCGCGCCTGCTCACGTTGGGAGGCGCGCGCAGTTGGAGTCGGGCAAGGATGTGCTGCTTCACGGCCTCGGTGAGGATCGAGGCGAGCTCTCCTCGCTGCCCCGTACTTTGCTGCTGATGATGATGGTCGTAGTGCTGACGATCCTGATGTTCATGTCGACGCTGCTGCTGCTGCTGAGTCGTCGCCTGGTGGTGACGACGTTGATGGAGCTCGTGTTGGAGCGGAAGGGAACAGGTCCAGCAAGCGCCCGCGTCGGGAATTTCGACTCGCGTGGACGATGAGAGGGAGAGGTTGTCCATGGGCTGAGAGCTCCGAGCGCAGCCCAGCATCGCCGATAATGCCACCGTCAGCGCTATCATCACTCCCATGACGACGACGACGATGATGATGGTGGTGATGATGATGATGGTCATCAACCAGCCATGAAAGCTCGTCGCACTAGCCGGACATTGGTGAGTGAACTTTCTTCTGTGCTCCTTAAGCTACGTGAAGTCGCAGTGGTGGTGACAATGACGTCCCGTGTCATCTCACGAAACGCGGTTTGTGGCTTTGAAGGATTACTCCCCTTCGATTGCTCCACACTGCGTGTTACAATATCTTCCAATGAAAGCCATCGGAGTCCACGTTAACAATGCACCTACGTAACGGATTATAATAGAAAGACGCCCCAAATTGTACGTATGTTGGACTTCTTTCGCACCGTACGTAGCCAACCGTGCTAATAGAATGCGCGCGCGTGTGTGAGCAAAGTGCGCGCGGGTGTGTGTGTCTGTGTGTGACAGCAAAGTGCGCGCGTGTGTGTGTGCGTCTGTGTGTGAGGGCAAAGCGGAGAGTGAATTTGTCGACAGTGACTTTTAGAAGGAGGCTGGAGAGAGCCGGAGCCGATTTGGTGCCGCGGAGTCTGACGCTTTGGTGAGGAGTGCGGAGGTGGGGGCTGGGGGATGTGTGTGTGTGGTGTGTGTGGAATGTGGTGTGTGTGTGTGTGCGCGTGGGTGTGTGCGTGTTGGGTGGATAGTTGATTGGTGGCAGTGGTGGTGGTGGCTGCTGCCAGGGTCTGTATAGGGGCGGGTCTGAGTTCGCGTCCTGGACCCAAGGGACTCACTGCACGGGAGGTGGGGAGGAGGTGGGGGAAGAGGGGGGGGGGGTGATAGTGAGGAAGGCGGTAGGGAGGAGGAGGAGGCGGTAGGAGGGATGGGAAAAGCCACAAGGGAGCCACACGAGGAGCGGCGACTGTAATAATAATTGCGCCAGGTTCAACTGGTAACTTACCGCGTGTGCGTCGCGCGGCCCTGGGTGTCGTGAGCCCCATCTGTTAAGCGTAATGAGTCGCGATGCGCGCCCTATGCGCAGAGCGTACAGCGCGAAGTGTCCACCTCGGGCGGTTAGCGACAGCGCACCACGATCAAGGTGATGGGCTTTATGGGGCGGATGATGTACGCACACGTACGCCGGACTTCTTTCGCCCCGTACGTCGCCAACCGCAGGTGCGCGCAAGAGCCGGTTTTGGAGCGCTTTCGGAAAAGTGAACCTGTGTGGAGAGTGGTGTATGGTAATGACTTACAGCCATTTCTCAATCCACTGCTGGATGAAGGCGTCCCCACGCCGTACCATGCCCGTCGTGGGCGGTTGTTTTTTGACCATGCTTCACGACGCCGGTGTAGTGCGGATTGGTGAAGAAGGTTGCATATTGCTCAAGACCGCCACTGATGATAACCGTGGCCCGGAATCCAACTCGGTTGTAGCTTGGTTCATAGTGCAGCGCGCTTCACCGCTTATCATAGAACATAACAACCACGTGATGTTGTGCTCAATAAAGCAACAAAATGCTTATTTATTTATTTTACATAGCGGATTCATCATGGGCGTACGCACAGCTGCAGATTACGTGTACAGTACACCGCGTGTCCTAAAATTTAATTAAAGATAAATTACATTTTTGTATGGGCTGATAAAAATTACAAACAGTTATTTTTTTTTGGTTTCGGCTCCCCACGCTTGTTAATGTTTAATACAGTTCATGGGAGGTTTGAAGGTCCTGGTTAAATATTCCATGTCTCTTCGTACATACGATATATATTACATAACAATCATGATCACCATTAGTCTTGACAACCACAGATGACCATGATTGTTATTCAAATGCGATCCTCGTATTTGGCCCAAATTAACCGTAACCCAATAGAGAGTCCAGGTTCTCGAGAAGACTTCTCGACTCACGCAGGTCCCTGCTTTTGATATTTCACGAAGCGTATGGGCCAGCAACCCTACACCGCACAAAATATGGCAGCAGCAGATGCGGATACCTGATGATCCAAAACATGGAAAAAGAAAAAAGATATCCCATCAGTGCGCGACTTGTGGTCGCGCAGAACAGACCATGGAACATTTAACGACTCAATGCCCGATTCGTAAATACGAAGGAGGCATCATCACCGCTTGCAAACTGCCAAGACATTTATACTTTTTTTCTTGCAAACGAAAACCGAGGCCTCAAGAACGTTCGTCACCGCCGACTCAAGGCCCGATCCACTTTCTGGGCACTGCGCTGCAGTCACCATCCTAGAATCTCATCCAGATCCGGAAGAACGCTGGCGAACAAACAAAGCGGTCGTCCAAAATAAACACCTCCCTCGGGACTCAACCATCGCACCTCCTCACTCTGACATCCTCCTTGAAGACACTGGTGGTGGCACCATCAACAGTGTCGTCCAGAACATCATCCAGGCCGATTGTCACACATCTGGTTCATGAATGAGAATTGAAAGGCACAAGCAACACAGTTGTGCGTTTGTGGCCACGCAACCCAAACCATGGACCATAAAGTAACCCCACTGTAGTCTGCCGCTCCTTCAATGGAGGAGGAATCGCAAAACTACATGAACTCTCTCCTGAAGCGCTCTCGTGGCTAGCGGACCTCGACATTGGCATTTAGCTCGTGAACAATTTGGCATCACACGCATGTTGTAAAAGGACCACTCCGCTACCCCCGACGCAGCTATCTGGTTCAACCACCTCAACGTCAAATTACAACCACGGCCGTTGCTCCAGGTCGACGCGAGCCAAGAGGACCAACGGATGGCCCGGATAACGACCGCAAAAAAAAAACCGCCATCAACGTCGCGATTCATTGCCATTATTTAGTGACGGTCGCCGCTCTCTCCACGTCGCCGAGGGAGCTCACTGGTCACCATTGCCGGATCTGTCTCCCTGGGGCGGTGAGGTGGGCAAGCGGGTAGGGGGGGGGGGTGATGAGAGGCGCTCTGAGCCCAGGGGAGATGTCACTGGCAATTATCTCAATTTACAGTGAAGTGACTCCCCAGCGCTCGTCACTGCGAGCCTGCTGGTGACATAGGGTCACTCTTGATTTGTCATCTGATTGTGATAAACTACGGCGCAATCATTTATCGGCGCTACGGCCATTAACAACACCACCACCGCCGCCGCCGCCAGTACGACATCATTACACGAATAAAACGCCAACGTTCATGGACAGCTCCTCGTCAATGCACGGCGCTCGAGAGGTCAACCGCCGCGCGGAGACGGAGCGAGACGCGACGTGAACGCGTGGCGTTGACGGGGGTCGCGCGGTCCGCCGCATAGCGAGACAACGGGTGGACGTCGAGGGCTCGCTTCATCCAGCAGTGGACGGATCGTTGGCCGACGACGAAGCCGGGCCGCATGCTCCCAGGGGGGGTGGAGAGGGAGGGAAGGGGGGGTCCTCACAGGGACACGGCGCCGTCGCGGCTCAGCTGGGCGACGGCGGCGTCGCTGTAGCCCAGCAGCTGCGTCAGCACCTCTCCCGTGTGCTCCCCCAGCAGCGGGGGCGGCACCGCGGGGTACCCCTTCTCGTGGTCCCCGTACCGCACGGGGGGCCCTGTGGCGGGGAGGGGGTAGCAGTGAGGGGGGCACTTATCGAAAGCCCACATCTCTTTCTTGTCCACGACACACACACTCCTGTTCAGTGAGAAATCGCTGCAACCTCCGGTTGGCAAGGTTGGCTACGTACGGTGCGAAAGAAGTTCAACATACGTACATGCACATGTCAACGAGACAGCTGATGCAGAATGCTGTACCCAGGTAGTCGCCCGAGGTAAGTACGTTTATGAACTCGCAGCTTTTATAACCTAGGTTAGCACGAGCATGAAATATTAATACATTGTAAGCTTTATTAAACACCTCTGTCTTGCATTTTCTACTGCACGGGTTAAATGTCTGTGTAAAGTCTCGAATATCGCACAGTGATATTCGAGACTGGGCAGTGAGGCGAGTTCCAGGCCGATGGACCACTGAGTAGTTGAGTGGGTGGGTGAATAGGTGAGTGGGTGGGTAGGTGGTTGAGTTCCAGGCCGATGTACTGCTAAGTAGGTGAGTGGGTGGATGGGTGGGTGAGTAGGTGAGTGGGTGGATGTGTGGGTGAGTGAGTCGAGTTCCAGGCCGATGTACTGCTGAGTAGGTGAGTGGGTGGGTGAGTAGGTGAGTGACGCGAGTTCCAGACCTATGGACTGCTGAGTAGTTGAGTGGGTGGGTGAGTAGGTAAGCGGGTGGGTGAGTAGGTGAGCGGGTGGGTGAGTAGGTGAGTGGGTGGGTGAGTAGGTGAGTGGGTGGGTGAGTAGGTGAGTGGGTGGGTGAGTATTTGAGTGGGTGGGTGAGTAGGTAAGTGTGGGTGAGTAGGTGAGCGGGTGGGTGAGTAGGTGAGTGGGTGGGTGAGTAGGTGAGTGGGTGGGTGAGTAGGTGAGTGGGTGGGTGAGTAGGTGAGTGGGTGGGTGAGTAGGTGAGTGGTTGGGTGAGTAGGTGAGTGGGTGGGTGAGTAGGTGAGCGGGTGGGTGAGTAGGTGAGCGGGTGGGTGAGTAGGTGAGCGGGTGGGTGAGTAGGTGAGTGGGTGAGTATGTGAGTAGGTGAGCGGGTGGGTGAGTAGGTGAGTGGGTGGGTGAGTAGGTGAGTGGGTGGGTGAGTAGGTGAGTGGGTGGGTGAGTAGGTGAGTGGGTGGGTGAGTATTTGAGTGGGTGGGTGAGTAGGTAAGTGTGGGTGAGTAGGTGAGCGGGTGGGTGAGTAGGTGAGTGGGTGGGTGAGTAGGTGAGTGGGTGGGTGAGTAGGTGAGTGGGTGGGTGAGTAGGTGAGTGGGTGGGTGAGTAGGTGAGTGGGTGGGTGAGTAGGTAAGTGGGTGGGTGAGTAGGTGAGTGGGTGGGTGAGTATGTGAGTGGGTGGGTGAGTAGGTGAGTGGGTAGGTGAGTAGGTGAGTGGGTGGGTGAGTAGGTGAGTGGGTGGGTGAGTAGGTGAGTGGGTGGGTGAGTATGTGAGTGGGTGGGTGAGTAGGTAAGTGGGTGGGTGAGTAGGTGAGTGGGTGAGTGAGTAGGTGAGTGGGTGGGTGAGTAGGTGAGTGGGTAGGTGAGTAGGTGAGGGGGTGAGTGAGTAGGTGAGTGGGTGGGTGAGTAGGTGAGTGGGTAGGTGAGTAGGTGAGTGGGTAGGTGAGTATGTGAGTGGGTGAGTGAGTAGGTGAGTGGGTGGGTGAGTAGGTGAGTGGTAGGTGAGTAGGTGAGTGGGTGAGTGAGTAGGTGAGTGGGTGGGTGAGTAGGTGAGTGGGTAGGTGAGTGGGAGAGTGAGTAGGTGAGTGGGTGAGTGAGTAGGTGAGTGGGTGGGTGAGTAGGTGAGTGGGTGGGTGAGTAGGTGAGTGGGTGGGTGAGTAGGTGAGTGGGTGGGTGAGTAGGTGAGTGGGTGAGTGAGTAGGTGAGTGGGTGGGTGAGTAGGTGAGTGGGTGGGTGAGTAGGTGAGTGGGTGAGTGAGTAGGTGAGTGGGTGGGTGAGTAGGTGAGTGGGTGGGTGAGTAGGTGAGTGGGTGAGTGAGTAGGTGAGTGGGTGGGTGAGTAGGTGAGTGGGTGGGTGAGTAGGTGAGTGGGTGGGTGAGTAGGTGAGTAGGTGAGTGGGTGGGTGAGTAGGTGAGTGGGTGGGTGAGTAGGTGAGTGGGTAGGTGAGTAGGTGAGTGGGTGAGTGAGTAGGTGAGTAGGTGAGTGGGTGAGTGAGTAGGTGAGTGAGACGAGTTACGAGCTACGAGGTCCACATCTCGTTGTCCAAGTGTGCAGAACGATTGAGAGTGGAGTGAACCGGCACTCTGGGATTTCCGACTGTTACGAATCAGGGACATTCCATTTAAGAGTAGATGTTTAAGTTGTTGTGGTTAACGTGCGTGCTTTGGTGATGCATCCTCGTCAAACTGGGTAGCTCTCAAGAGACCCCCGGCGGCTTTGCGCCTTGGTCCTCTGCCCGAATCGCCCACCCTGAAACCCTCTAGCCCTGTAGGAGCAGCAGCAGCGGCTGCACAGCAAAGGTGTGGGTTAAATTCCTGTGCAGAGTCAACGTTTTCTCATCATCATCATCACCACCACAGCCATAATCATCATCATTACCATCATCCTGATCATCATTGCCATGAATAAGTAATATCATCAACCACATTGTAATCGTCTATCATCATCACTGTCATGTTTGTCATCATCAGCAACACCACCAACTCCACTGTCATAGTCATGATCATCCTCATCATCACCATTTTTAACATCATCACAGGAGCAGCGCTTTTATATCCATCACCCGAGCCACACGAGAACCGCGTTGAGCCACTCCACACATCGTGAGCGCACTCCGGCTCATCCATCATTATCATGCATCATCATCATCCATCATCATCCACCATCATTCATGATCATTCATCATCCATCATCATTCATCATCATTCATCATCCATCATCATTATCCATCATCATCAATAATCGTTACCCATCATCATTACCGATCATCATCTATCATCAACCATCATGCATCATCATCATGCATCATCATCAATAATCGTTACCCATCATCATTACCAATCATCATCTATCATCAACCATCATGCATCATCATCATGCATCATCATCATCATCCATCATCATCCATCATCATCCACCATCATTCATCATCATTCATCATCTATCATCATTCATCATCATTCATCATCCATCATCATTATCCATCATCATCAATAATCGTTACCCATCATCATTACCGATCATCATCTATCATCAACCATCATGCATCATCATCATGCATCATCATCAATAATCGTTACCCATCATCATTACCAATCATCATCTATCATCAACCATCATGCATCATCATCATGCATCATCATCATCATCCATCATCATCCATCATCATCCATCATCATTCATCATCCATCATCATTATCCATCATCATCACCATCAATAATCGTTACCCATCATCATTACCGATCATCATCTATCATCAACCATCATCATTATCCATCATCATTATCCATCATCATCATCATCATCCATTATCATCTATCATTACCCATCATCATCACCATCACCTATCATCAACCATCATCAATCATCATCATCCATCATCATCAATCATCATCCATCATCATTCATCATTAACCGATCATGCCCATCGCCCATCATCATAGTCATCATTAGGATAAGTCACCATCATAATTATCAATACCTTTTCCATCATCATCATCATCATCCTGATTATCTTTGCTATTGAATCACAGTCATCTCCGTCGTTAAAACCGTGACCATTACCCTCATCATCATCATTATCCATCATCATAATTGCCATTCATCATTATAATCATCTTCATCACCATTGTAAGCAACATCATCACCAATGTCATCTTCACTCTCATCATCGCCACTATCATAAATATGCTAATAAGTCATTGAATGCGCAGATAAGACATTCAGGCGGTGCTCATTGCCTGTTTACAGCCCTGAGCCGGCAGTGGAAATTTCGCATTCCTCTTGTGGTGGTGGTGGTGAATCTCTCCTTAGGACAACCACCCTTGACTTCCCGGCAACGTGGTGCTCATTTCATCGACCCGCGGATGAGCCGAGTCAACCCCCAACCAGGATGAGAATTCGCAACCTTCCAACTCGCCATACCGCTGATCCACGTGGCCATCGTCTCTGTCAATCGTCACACCATCAACACCCTCCTCGCCCCACCGCGCACAAGCTATGAGAGTCAACCTAAACGAAAATTAAACTATTTTTTTGTTATTTTACCAGGTAAGGCCCACTGACCTATACAGCTCTTTTCGAGAAGCCACCTGGCCACAAATGATAGCTCAACGAAGTGGCTTATCACGTGCACATTTACAGCCGTCAAATACTCTAAAATTATGTCGTTTCCAAATGTGGACGGAAAACCCGGAGGACCCGGAGAAAAATCCACGTGACCAAGTGGAGAGCACGCAAACTCCAAATACAGAGCAGGCGTAAGGGTCGGGATCGAACCCACGACCTCTTGTACACCAGGCTAGAGAGTTAACATCTCGCCACCATCTCGCACCACTTGCGGTGGGCAGGTCATCCCCCTCTCCACCAAACTCCCGCCTCCCCTTGCCGGGCGGTGAGACCGTGAGCGGCCTCAGTCCTCCGTGCTCGGAGGTGCCCGGCTCTCTTCCGTGGCGGGGGGGGGGGGGGGGGGGAGGCAGCGGCGTTCCCACGGGAGCGCGGAGGGGCGTGATGACGCTCGCGGCCGCGTCGCCACGGTGAGGCCGGCAGGGGCCTTCCCCTGGCGACCGCCGTGCGTTTGTCTCTTCCCAGCAACAGCTGCTGCTGCTGCTGCCACAGCAGCAGCACCAGGAGCGGGGGCAACAGTGGCAGCCGCTGAGCTTTAATGGCCGTCGCAGGCAAGTGACATCTGGACACCTCCACCGGCCGCCCAGGTGTGGTGCGGTAAAAAAATAAAATAAACACTAATTAGACACCGTGTTGATGAGGGCCTCCCCCACGCGGGGTTGTTGCTTGACCACACTTCGCCCAGCCGATATCGGTGCGAGCCGGCGAACAAGAAGTGCAGCGGTGCGTTCGCGCGATTCATCGAAGGGCGCGGGTGGCGTGTGAGACCCTGCGGGCGAGGCGGTGACCGGGCATGCCGAGACGGTCCGCTGCTGGCGGAACTCCCAGTCTTTCTCGTAAGCCGCTCACCCGCAGCTCGCCGCGTGCGACGCGAGTGTAGCGAGGCCACCCCCCCCCCCCCCCCCCCACCACTCCGGAGGGGCACACCCGCGCCTCCGCATGGGAGCGTGCTAAGCGAGGTGTGAAGTGCGGCGGGCAGAGGAGTCCTGTGCGTGCCAAACGCCGCCGGCGCGGCGTGCGTGTGGCTTGGTTCCTCCGGAGCAATTCTCCGCGTGAGCCAAGTGGGCCCTTTTTTTTTGGCAGGAGTCACGACGTTGATGGCGCACAGCGAGGCTACAATGTTGGGCGGCGGCTAATATCAGCGGTGCGCGATACTTCAACTGGTCCCGGGCCTCCCATAGGTAGACTCAGCCTTAAGCTAGCGCGTGGTACGGTGACTAAACTGCGGCACTGGGGACACAAAGGCGGTCTGATGTGAGTGGTGCTGGCAACACCACCACTCATGTGCCAGTCGGGTCTTAAATATTATGGATGATTTTGGTCGCGAAAGCCAACGTGTTAAACAGGTCTTAAATATCTGCTCACGAGGTGCACTTTCCTCAACAGTCTCCAAGGCTAAATGGGGATCTTTACCTCAGTGTCTTTGTGTGTCTCATACCTGGTACCGCTATGTGGCCGGCAGTCGGATGATCCATGTGCTGAATTAACCCATTGTGTAAAACCTAGACAGGGAAGTCAACAAAGCAAATACTTAGAAGAGGACAATGGTTGTTTTTCTGCTCAGACCTATGACCAAATTGCTCTGAACGTGCACAAACTTGCAAGATCTAGCAAGCGAGGCTTTGTTGAGCCTGGTTCGAGGTTGCATGGCAGACTACCTGGGAAAACCAAGGTGTTGCAGACCTTGACAGCCGAGTGGGCCGGAGATGGCGGTACAGAAATCATTTATTGAATTCGATCTGCGCGGAGTACTTGAGTGTTACTCCCTCGTGGTGGGGTTCTTTCCGGCTCCTCTTGTGTTCTCCCACGTGAAGCCAAACAGCCGCTCGTGGGAACAGCCAAACGTACCCCAAGGCAAGGCCCCTCTTGAATAAAATATAGGGCATTATATTAATTATTATTATTATTATAATTTTACATAACATTAATACGAGTTTATGATGCCGCGATTAACGAGTTAGAGGAACTGTGTGGCCGAATTTTCGGGGTTGAACAGGATCCGCAGCCCTCCTCGGAAATCTTCCCTCTGTAACTACAAATGCCCCAGTCGCTGACAAAAGAAGAGACTGGACTCAGAAGATCAAGGCCAACCCACCGTGCCTTCTGCGCTTCTGCGGCCGTCTGGAATGTTCCCCTCCCGCCACCCCACCCATTCCGATATTCGGAAGCCACTGGAGCTATGCACTTTGAAATCCAGATTGAAAACTGCTTTTTGCGTTTATTTTTGTTGTCCTTCCCCCGCACCTCCGCTGAGCACGGTCGGCTCCGTACGGTGCGACAAAGAAGTTCGACATACCGTACATACATACAACATACATACAACAAACATACCTCATACATACAACATACATACAACATACATACAACAAACATACAACATACAACAAACATACAACATACATACAACATACATACATACAACATACACACATACAACAGACATACAACATACATACAACATACATACGTACATACAACATACATACAACATAGATACAACATACACGCCCGCTGCTGCGTATTGTATGACTACACCCGGCGCGGTCCAAACGCGCGTTCCGCGGCATCGCTCAGAAACGAGGCAACAGCTGCGGGCCCTCGCCTCGTTAAGTAAGTACATTCTTCACGACGTCGACGCTCCTCTCCCATTCACAGCCCTGCAGAGCCAGCGGTGGAAATTCGACATTCCTACAGGGCAGAGACGAGTCCATCCAATGGACAATCGCGAAGCGGCGAATCATTTTATCGACCCCCCCCCCCCCCCACACCGGGAGGGATGATTGTAATGGGACGAGTTGACCGGCAAGCAGGGATGTGAACTCGCAACGTTTTCCGATTGCGAGCCGCTCGCCGTGCCTCTGAGGCCCCACTCCACTCCCCTCCCGGCCCCCTTGGCTCTCCACGAAGGGAGAGCCATGGGGGCGGTTGCGGTGAGCAGAGCTCAGCATCCGCGGTAAACATCCTCTCCGTTTCAGGGTCGCAGAGCATGAAGAAAAAAAACAACAACAAAACAACAACAACAACAACAACAAAGAAAACCGAAGTGTAACTACTGAATTAAATTAAACATCAATACTTTGTGTCAAAAAGGTCTGGCCATGCCCCGAGAAGGCCACAACTTTCCACGTCAACAACGCCGCTGGAAGACGGAGGGAAAAGTAATCCCAGATTGTGCTGGATTTTCTCTCTCTCTCTCCTGACTTGACGCTGCAGTGGCCGCGTGTTGTTTTTACCACGAGTCGCCGCTCCTGACATTTGCGCGCCCTTCCTGGAGTCGAGAGAGCGAAGCAGCAAGGGGCGATGTTTTTTTTAAAAAAAAAGAACACCGCGTCTTAATTATTTTCCAAGAATTTTGCACGCCATTTTTAAACACGTGATTTTTTTCCTCCTCCTTACTGTAAGTAAAAGCTGATTAAGCTACCAGCTAACGGGTCAAAACATTTCCCAAGCATGTGGTTCGGTTCCATAATCATGCCTTATGGGAGAAAACAAGTATGGTAAAAAATGATTGTATAGTAAAGTATTAAGTATCATTTCACTAAAATACGTGGGTTTAAAAAATATATATTTAGAATCGTAACATACTTCAGAGATTTCAAATGTAAGGTATCATATAAAAAAATAATCCAAGAATGATTAATTCTGCTATGGAAGATTTACCAAAGCAGTTGCAATAGGATCAACTTGCAACGTAAAAATTACAGCCCATTCTCAATCCGCTGCTGAATGGAAGCTCCACTCCATGGGGTCCGTCACAGGGGTTGTTTGACCATACTTCACCGCACTAGTCAGTGGAGGTTGGTAAAGGGCTGGGTCGAGGAGGACCTCATGACTGGTTGAGACGTCGCTCGCCACTGATGGTGGCCGTGGATGCGAATCCAAACTCGGGTTGCCCGGTTCATAGCGCAGTGTACCAACCACTGAGTCACCACTCTTACCGTTACTTGAATGCAAAATAAAATACATCAGCACTGTCTGAAGTCAGAGGACATGGCTATGAAGCTGATCTTTTTATATTTTGCTTTAATCAACGAATTATCAGGAAAAGTTATTTAATTTGCGATTTCGCATGGAATAACATTTAAACTATGCCTCAGTAGCACAGATAATACTTTCAGGCAGGACTGATTTCCAACTCAGTCAGAGAGCTGGAATTCAACTAAGCAACGAGTGAAGAGGCCGCTTGTCTTTGAATGCTGGCGCGTGTGAAGCATGCTTGATATGCCATGGTAGGATAAGGGTTAGCAACTTGCAAGTTTGGGAAATATGGCATAAAAGCTTTGTAGATGTATGTACATTGAACTTCTTTCTCAACCTGCGTAGCCAACCGTCCTAATCGGAGGTGCGGGGTAAGGACAACGAACTAAACACAATAAGCAGTCAATAAGAAATGAGTTTTAAAACTCGATTTTAAAGCGCATAGCTCCAGTGGCTGCCGAATATCCGAAGGAAGAGCCGCAGCAGCGCGTATGAAAGCGCGCGATGCGGTGACCGTCTTTGTTTGATGGCCAGCAGCCAAAAGCCGCTGCTGCCGCGAGGATTTCCAGAGTTTGCGTGATGATGGTTGAATGCTCCCTGACGAGATCATCGAGGCGTGAACCAGGAGAGGGGGGAAGGAGGCCGCGATGGGTGGGGACACGTGGGCAGGGTGGAGGAGGCAGTGGGCACGTGGCTTCCGAGCCGGGCATTGGAGTGGCAACCCAGCAGCCGGCGAGTGAGGTGGGGTGACCTTGGTCACTGCGTGGGGACTCACCTGGGGGTCGGAGAACACCTGGCGCATGCTGTTGATTGGTCCGTAGGGCACGGGGCAGCCCTCAAACAGCTCCAGCCACTGCGCGGTGGTCTTCTCCGCGAACCTGCACATGCGATCGAGTTCATTTGTTTAGCTTGGTGAGAACCAGGTGAGTGAGAACCAGGTGAGTGCGAACCAGGTGAGTAAGAATCAGGTGAGTAAGGACCAGGCGAGTAAAAACCAAGTGAGTGAGAACCAAGTGAGAACCAGGCGAGTAAGAACCAGGCGAGTAAGAACCAGGTGAGCGAGAACCAGGTGAGAACCAGGTGAGTGAGAACCAGGTGAGAACCAGGTGAGTGAGAACCAGGCGAGTAAGAACCAGGTGAGCGAGAACCAGGTGAGAACCAGGTGAGTGAGAACCAGGTGAGAACCAGGTGAGTGAGAACCAGGTGAGAACCAGGTGAGCGAGAACCAGGTGAGAACCAGGTGAGTGAGAACCAGGTGAGAACCAGGTGAGTGAGAACCAGGTGAGAACCAGGTGAGTGACAAGCAGGCGAGTAAGAACCAGGGGTAAAGGGCCAAGCGTGTCCGGCGCACTCGGAAGCACGCTGGGCAGGAGTTTTAGCGAACGGCCTCGCCGCGCAATTTCAACCTCGGGCCACGTTTTGCCGCCAGCGGCTGCGCCGCGGTTCCTCGTCGTCATAACGGAGCCGACGGCGTTGGTCGCCGTTTGTCATTTTACACCGAGTCGCCACGAGCCCGCGCGGCAGGCCCCCTCGGGGGCGCCCACAGAGTGCTGGCCGTGAACCCGGCAAAACCCCACGCACACACCGCACAACGTGGCTGGAGAAACCGAACCATCGACTCCGCCGCGCTGACCGTCCACTCGCGTCGCCACCGCCCCCCCCCCCCGCCCCCCGCGAGACCCGAACGCCCGCACCGGCGACACCGAAGCGACCACGAACGCCGCGACGCTGGCTTGTTGACTGTGACCCCCCCCCCCGCCCCCGCCGCCGCCGCCGCCGCCCCACCACCTCAACGGAACCCCCACCGCTCTGCGACGGTGGCGTCTGCCGCCGGCACGCACCTGGCGGCCAGCGTGGCGACGAGCTCCTTCCTGTGCCGCACGCGCAGCTCGTTGGTGGCGAACCTCGCGTCCCGCGCCACCCCGGGCAGCGACACCACCTTGGTCGGGGCGGGCGTCGGGGAGAATTAGCGGAACGCCCATGGCGGCAGTGACCTCACTCACTCGGGGCGGGTGCTGCGAACACTGTTGGGGAAGTTCTTCGCACATGTGCGTCGCGAACTGTGGTGTGGCGCTGAAATCGGGTTGGTTCATACTGCAAACGGTCCACGTGGAATAAAGTGGGAATCGTAATTTAGACTGCAGGAGACCGATGAGCTGTGAAACTCTTTTTTCAGAGATGCCCAGCGGGACATACGGAACTGTAAATCATCTATAAACTATTCGAATATTTTTATTTTACCAGGTAAGGCCCACTCTTTTTCAGAAGCAGCCTGGCCACAAATGATAGCTCAACTAAGTGACTTATCATACAGCAGCCAAATACTCTAAACGCATGTTTCTAAATTTTAAGGGAAAAACCGGAGGACCCGGATGAAAATCCACGTGACCACGGGGAGAACATGCAAATTCCAAATATACAGGCGTCAGGGTCGGGATCCAATCCACGAATTCCCGTATTCTAGCAAGATAGTTAACATCTCACCACCGTGGCACGCCAATCTGACATGCACTGCGGGTTTCTTAGCATTCGGACAGTTGCATTACCAAACTCTCAACAACTACCCTGTAATCCGCACTAATCAAATGATATGCGGATGATACATGAAGTAACAATATTTTAGGGGTCACAATAACACCCTTTGCTTAGCAGAGAGAATACTTCACACAAGTCTAGATTTGAATCTTTCGTGACTGCAAGGATCCATACTCTTTGGTTCAATTCGGTAAAGTCACGTAGGTAAAAAATAAAACAACAAAAATCACGACGTTTTGGCCACAACACAAGCGGCCTTCATCAGGTGAAGGGACCAGACTGTCTCGAAGACTTCACTCCAGCGCAGTCTTCGAGACAGTCGGGTCCCTTCACCTGATGAAGGCCGCTTGTGTTGTGGCCGAAACGTCGTGATTTTTGTTGTTTTATTTTTTACCTACGCGACTTTACCGAATACTTCACACAATGTTTACTCGATCAGACAGCAGGGGTCCACAGAGTGCAACATTCACAACCACAAATGAACAAGAAAATAAAGCAAAACTACAAAGGAGGCAGCAAAAATTGAGACAAAGAGAGAATGTATTCTTGAATGTGGCTTGTGACCCAGGATTTCTGTGTAGGAGTAGTATATAATATATTGCGGTGTAACTTTGTGAAAACTTCTGCAAGGTTTTTCCCAAAGTGGATCTTTAAATCAATGTATGATTAACAAAATACAACTTGCAATTTCTGTTGCTGGCCTCATTGTATTATTTGTGGCCATCTTTGATCTTGCCATGCATGGGTCATATTTTCTCATATGTTGACATACTTGTCAACCCATATGGTTTACTCGTATTCTCGTGCAGGGAAATTGAGTTTTCAGGTCCATACGGCGTACAGACGTTGTAATACAGGCAAATAAAATCAACCAAATGTTTGTCTATTTGTTTGTCTTTCTCCCCTGTGATGGGACTTTTCAGGATGAACGTTGAAATTTATGAGGGCTGAATTGGTCAATGAGCCACTCTGTCTACAGGAAAGCTACCCATACGGATGCTTATCTGAAACCGGATTCCCACCACCATCCATCACAGAAGAATTCCCTCATAAAGACTCTGTACCATAGAGCCCAATGCATATCCGACCAGGAACACATAGGCAGTGAACTCAAGCACGTACACCAAGTTCTTAAGGCTAACGGTTACTCCGACTATACAATCCGCAAAGCTATCACTCAAACCATGAAGAAGGACCCTCTTGAGGAGCCTTTCAAAACCATCACTTTACCCTACATTGCGGGGATCACAAAAAAGATTTCCAAAATCTTGAATAAACACAAGATCCAGGTCCGTTTCAACACATTACATAAAATCCGTGATCTGGTTCCGTCTGTAAAAGATGTGATTCCGGACATACAGTACCCTGGTGTCTACAAACTAAGTTGCCTCTGTGGTAGTAGTTACATTGGAGAAACCAAACGCCATGTCTCGGATCGCATTCGTGAACACAAAGCAGACCTTAAACACGGTAGGACCAACACCTCGGCCGTGGCAGATCATTGTTATAATTCAGTAGGCTCACATGACATTGACTTTTCCAAGACAGAGGTTCTTTGTAAGCCATCTGGCTACCATGAGAGATTCGTTCATGAGGCTATCCACATATACAAGCACAGAAACAATTTCAACCGAGAAGATGGATTCTGGCTTAGTAATCATTGGAAAGATTTCATTAACCATTTCAGGTCTTAATTGATTGTTCACGCTTACAGTGGCTTTCAGACAGCATACATTAATTTTTCGTCTCCCCCCTCCTCTTTTCAGAACATAGATGGACTAGTCCTTCTAAATAAACTGCCAAATCGCTGCGCGTAGCGCTGCCGTTTTTTTAAATAAATAAATACACCGTGTAAAAATAAATTAATTAATGCAAACCGACGCACCTGATGACGACCGTTTGTGTTATGGTCGAAACGTCGTGAGAATTTTTATTGTTTTATATATATTTTATTATTTTATTGTTTCCCTTCAACGTGACTTTACCGAAAGGGCTAAAAATATAAGGTAGGCACTGATAAGGGGTCGACTGGTATGATGTTGGCATCTATTTACTTACGGACAGGTAATTGAACCTCTATTTATCGGCTGAAGGAAGGAATTAAAATGTGATATCAATAACACGAGCTTCAAAGACAGGCTTTAAATATATAATGGCAGCCAAAAATGCCAACGTTGTTTCTTTTGTGGGCGGAAAGGAGAGTATTCGGAGCGATCCCAACTCCCCCTTATGAACGCGCAACATTCAGCATTGGTCACACATCCAAACAGAAACCGCACACAAACCGGGCTTAACTCCTCGGCTTCGCTTCTGAGATCTGACAATATTGCGAGTATTCAGGGCGACTTTGTTACAGGCGGTGTATTCAATCAGAATATTTATTTATACTGGAGGAGCTCTTTTTCACAGACGTCCAGCAGGGGCAGATCAGAACGTTACAACAACGAACAACAAAAAAACACAATAGGAATGCAAAGTAGAGGAAAGGTAAAAAAAATACTTGAAAACTTTTTTACGAAACTATTTTTTTTATCTTACCAGTTAAGCACACTGAGCTATTAACTTTTTTCAGAAGTCACCTGGCCACAAATGATAGCTCAACGAACTGGCTTACCATGTGGAAATGTATAGGGTGGATGTGACTCAGGCAAGGGCTTTGTATTGTGTGTGTTGGGGGGCATGAGGAGCAGGAGGAGGAATGAGACCTCGTCCCGCATGTCTAACCTCGCACGTGGCAACAAAGTGGTCGTTGTTGGTGGCGCCGATCACCAGGTAGCCGTCTTGTGTTTTGAAAGCCTGCAGAGATCCATCGCAGCACAGTGGGCAAACGGAAAACCCGCGACGTTTTTTTTTCTACCACGGTGCAGTTCACGAAGCTCGGGAACATTTAGTAGTTTCTTTCCCTTCCATTTACTTTTGATATTTGAAATGCAAAAACAAATTGCCATCTTAAATTTCCCAAATCCCATTGGCATGCGCCGAGTCTGGCTGAAACATGAGAGCACCATATCAAGTGGATTTACGGGGTCGAAACTGCAGCTACGTGCTCGAGATGAAGACCCACCACGCACACGAGGGTGGGGGTCACGCGCTGAGCTCCGCACAGATAGATTCAAGAAATTCATCGCTATCATGCCATCTCCTGGCCGCCTCGCAGCCCACGCCTGCAATAGCTGATGCTCTCAGGCAGCCTCTCATCCAAGCACCCACCAGGCTGCTCAACCCCCCTTAGCCTCCGAGATCTGACGAGATCAAGCGCACGCAGGCATCCTGAATCGGTCGTAGGATCCAAAATAAACTAGTTTGGCCGAAACATTTTAAATCAAATAGTGCACAGTGACGTATATATCGGAGTGTGCAGGCGGCGCAGTCGAAACCGGGATCCACGGTTACGACGAGAGGAGAGCAGACGTGGGAGAGGTGGGGGGGGTGCCCGTTTCATCGCTTGCAACCAGCGTCCACGCTACACCGCTCACACACTCACAGCAACCTTGACCACAGACGGTCAGGGCAGACGGGCATATCTGTCCCTGTCGAGGCTCCGGAAAGGCTGAGCAGCTTGAATTGATTGTGGTGTATGTGAACCCGTGACTAAGGGGACACTGAGCCGGCACCGCTGAGATTCTGGGTTCAAATACGGGTGTCAGGAGCCGTGATAAAACCGTGTTGTTACCCGCTCGTAGAGAGTCCATGGCCTCAGCCTGGTCACGATGACCGCACATCCTTCGTGCAAGAGCCCCCTGTGCCAACAACGCTACGCCGCTGGTAGTGCGCATCGCAAAGGATTTCCGCTTCCGCGAAGCAGCGCATGTGCGTGCGTCACCTGGTAGGGCACGATGCTCTTGTGCGCCGTGCCCCAGCGAGTGGCCTCCACTCCGGCCGTGAGAAAATTGGCGGCGACGTGGGAGAGGCAGGCGACCTGCGTGCCCCGCACGGCGGCGAGAGGAGGGGGGACGCGAGCGAGATGAGTTGGCGGCTCTCTTGCCCCCCCCCCCCCGTGCCGCGCAACTCGAACGACGGTCGTTAGCGACGGCGCTTGGGGCCCGCGGGCTACGCGGGGAGGACGAGCGAGCAAGTGGGCCGCTCAGTTATCGCAGAGCGGTCGCTTGAGTGGATGGTGAACTCAGGTGGATGGGTGGCGCAGAGGTTGGAGATGGCACGGCTGAGATCCTGGGTTTCAAATCTGGGTTTCTGCTGCCTCGTATGTACGTATGTGTGTGTATGTTGAACTTCTTTCGCACCAATCATAGCCGACCGTACTAATCGGAGGGGGGGAGGGGACAACAAACTGAACACAAACAGCAGTTATAAAGAAATGAGTTGTCAATCTAGATTTAAAATTGTACAGCTCCAGTAGCTTTCTAAAAAGTGTAGCGAGCTGATGGTCTGCACCCAGTCATCAATGACGACACAAGACAAATATACATCCATTTGTCTTTCTGACTTAATTGCCTTTTTGATATATACACAGTATATATTATATTGACGACTGCATTGCGTTGTCTGCTATGTGTGCGTGTGCACGACTGCCAACAGCTGCATCACCACATAATCCGCTACATTTGCCCTCATCCTGCTCTGAGAATGAACGACGTTGTCTTCATCAACACGTGGATGAACTCTTTGTATAGCGTACAAAGGCCATGTCCCATCTGTGGGTAAAGAGGCCGACAGGAGTTACTTCAACAGAAGCGGTGTCACATCATCTTCCAGGCTATCCTCTCACGCTTACAGCTGCGAGAGTTTAAAGCGGAAATAAAATCTCGCGGCGTTATTCGTCGAAAGCACAATTGGATTATAATTTGGGTAAAAACGCATAATCAGCACGGCCTGTCTCGAAGAAGGCGACGGGATATGAGAAATTGGCGCAGGTGTGAGTGGCTAGCCATGAGCTGTCTGTGCCTTTCCTCTAGTGATTCGCGGAAGCCACCTTCTTGTGTTTAGCGAGACGGCGTACGCCAATGTTCCCAACTCGAATGCTTCAAGAGGGACACTTTCGTTGTTTGGTAGCGCAAACAAAAAAAAACCTCAGCGGGCAGATCGGTTACGCTGCACTGCGACCGAAATTCATGGGAACCCGAAACGCATTTTGGCATTTCACGTCATTGCTTTTGTTCTACCCGCGCTGTACAACCGCGAAGGGGTTCATCTGTCGGAACAAATCCATATCCTGTGCCTGCGCTGGCCTTAATTACCCTGCGTGTATGGCGCGCATATGTTGGGATCGTTGTGAGTTTCGAGTAGTTTTATTGCTTTTGAACTGCTGTTAATTTTATATATATAAATAATTAGGGCGTAACAGATATTTGGCAACGCACGCCGTTCGACATTGCCTCCAGAGGTCTGCGGCGCGCCAGGAGAGGCGTGGGCTGCATGGCGTTAAAGCAGGCTGGCTTACGCAATCAACACAAGCTTCCTTCGGTATCCAGTAAACAATGACCAGTTTCTGCAGGCTTCATTTCTCACTCACTATTGTCTGGATCTATGTGTTCACCGTGAGAGGTAGGTGGCACGTGACTCGTAGCCACAGCCACAATGAGAGAGAGAGATACTGGATGTGGTGTGTCAGGTCCCACAAATGTGTTCCATAGTCCAACTGAAATCAAGCCCCGGATTTATCCAAATGCTAACCGAGACCGCTCCGTGCGGTGAAATTCACGCCAGGATGGCGAATGGAGGGTTGCGAGTTTGCCGACATTGTTATGGAGAGGCCACCGATGCAGTCCATCAAGGGAACATCCCATAGCAATTACGACGAGAGATGGTGACGGCTTTCATCCGTTAGTGGATTGTTCATTACTGATGAAGTTGATAACAGGATATGATTATTATTATAATTATCACGTCTTGTTATATAATAGTTATAAGCATTACTATTAATTGCTCTAGCGCCTCCTACAGCCATCACCTCGTTGCTCTGCAGTTGGGCTCCGCTCATGCGTGACAAGTTAATCTCTACGTGTGTCTATTCTAAACTAAACTATTTTCATTTTAGCAGGTAAGGCCCCACTGAGCTATACAGCTCTTTTTCAGAAGCGACCTGGCCACAAATGACAGCTCAACGAAGTGGGCTTATCATCACGTGGAAATGTATAGTAGCCAAATACTCCAAATGCGTGATGTTGATTCTAGATTTGGAGGAACAAACCAGAGGACCCGGACAAAACTCCACATGACCACGGGGAGAACACGCAAACTCCAAATATTCTGGCACGGGAAATCGCGTCGGACGAGGCTCGCAATCTCTTAACCTCCCCCCTTGGGGGGCGATCACCTGGGACGAGAGGAGGTTACAGTCCAGGTGCTGGCCCCTCCCAGTGCGGGCCCTCTGCAGCAAGGCGGCCATGATAGATCCGTGAGCGAACAGCCCCGTCGCCAGGTCGGTCATCGCCACGCCGGAACGCACGGGGACGCCGCCCTGGGCACACGCGGCGGCAGCGGCAGTGTCAGTCGTCTGACCGTCAAGTGTAGCTGGCCCGCCCTGTCCCTCTCCTGCACGTGTGCATGTTGGACTTCTATCGCACCGTACGGAAGCCAACCGTGATAATCGGAGGTGCGGGGGACGGACAACGAACTGAACACAAGAGAAAAGCAGCTCTCCTGTGATCGTAACGAGGGGGACAGCCCTCTGCGTTGTGCTCTGTCCTGAGAATTGTGCGACTCCACAAACAGATGGGCACCAGAGGTTTGTGAAACGTCAACACTTTATTTCAAGGTATTCTTTCGAGGAGCGTTTGCGTATGTGCAATCATGGCCAGAACCACACCCTCATCACCCTCCACGTCACGCAACACCTCAGCTCAGCCCTTCAGCACGGAGTCCACCTCGAAATCTCTGCCTCCTACGGTTGCCACCCTTCTCAGAGTCCACATCTGGACGCATTTCTCAGTCAACCTGTGTCTGTGATCAAAACCGTTGATGTAAACTGTTGCGACGTTCAACTCTATACCGGCACCAGACCTCGGTACAAAATCAATTCCTGCTGCCACGCAAACGCCGGTGCCAATTCCTCCCAACTGTCTGGGTCAGACCTGGACAGATGGCAACCCGAGTGAGCACCCTGCGTGTGTCCACGCGTGCCCCCACCACCCTGTCAGTTTGTCACACGCCCGACATCCGAGTGTGGATTCGCAGCAACGTTGTGCTGCGCGCGACGCGAGAACGAGGCACCACCATGAACCCCACGGCACGACCTTGGCCACCCCAACCCTCACGTGCAAATGACCCCGCAGCCCCCCGCCCCCCCCCCGATTGCAAGGAAATGAGTGGCCCGGCCGCATGTTTGATCGAAGCACGTTTCCCGTGATTTACATTTCCTGGAAGTTATCAAAGGGGGTTTGGGAGCATTGATTTGTTTTGCAAGGGCTCGTGTTCTTATTGCACCGTGGCTGAAGAGGGAAACGATGAGTACTCTCCACTCGGGGTAATCAAAGGCTGCTCTATCGAAGCCCCCCCCCCCCCCCCCCCCCCCCCAGTCAACCTCAGCTGAGTGGGAGGTCGCTCCCAAACCGCCAGTATCTCGCTGGTCTCGGACTCCCCCCCACCCACCCCCAGCGGTCTTGTGCTGTGAACTGTGAGGGTCTCCCGAGTGGATACTTTTTTTGTTCTCGTTTGTGGGGTATAAAATGCCAATTGCACAAAATCTAATTTAATTGGATGGAAAAGTTGATTGGATGAAAAAGGTTAACCAAAAAGTATGTATTGGAGGCACAGTGCAAAAAAAAAACAGGGATATGTCTCATAAATCACTGAACACGTGCCAGGCTTACGAGGCTCAATATTCATTTCTGGTTTTTTTAAATAATACAGCAATGTAAACACAAAGTAGAGGAGTAGTGGCACAGCGGTTAGCACACACTGCACTCTGAATCAGACGACCGGAGTTCGATTCCTGGGCCACGGCTAGTGACACCTGAACTGGTCCTGGCCCCGCCAGCACGAAGTACGTACGGTCACACAACCTCCATGACTAACAACGCTGTGGGACAGGGCCTCAAACCAGCAGTGGATCGCCAAAGGGTTGCCTTTATTTAAATGTAAAATTTGACTTGCCTTATATACAACAAGAGAATAAGCGACTGTGTTGAACAAAGGTCACTTTGTGTAATCAACATAATGCAGCCCAAATGTACGGCGCTGCACATAACACTGAACTGTGGATGAGAAACTTCTTCATCCTTGCTCTCAAGAACGCATTAAAGTCACATGGGCACAAGTCTGGCTTGACTTATCCAACTACAAATAACAATCACAATAATGCAAGTTGCAGGCTTCGTTGTTAACTAGGCCTCATATTTATCGTAACAATTTAACAGCATTATAAAGGCATTTACAGCATTATAACGGCAATCCTAACATTATAACAGCATTCCTAGTATTATAAGAACATAAACGAACTTAAGGACAATGCTTCTTAAAGTCCCACAATGAATAGATGCACCCGTCTTCACTGAGACGCTAATTTTGCTTCCATTTTGTACTCTTTGTAATGGCCAAACTCAACACCATCATATCAGGAAGTTCCTGTGTAAACAAACCCCCATATCTGCCGTGGGGCAGAACATACAGCACTTTGCCAAAAAGGGAGCTGTAAAACATTATTACGTTAAAAAAATGGTTGGGGGGGAACATAAATTGTTTTTTGTGAATAAATCCACAACATTTTTTTTAGAATCACAGCGCAAAACAAATAACATGCAGCCTCAACCTTTCGCCACTGCCAAGGAAACATTGCCGTGTTTATTGTTCTATTCACGTGACTTAAGAATTATATATTTTTTTCACGCGCCATTGATGGCATTTGGCCTCAAAATTACAAAATCAATCGGCGGCATTCAGAACTATACCATGTCTAGATATTCTGCTTGGACGGGGTCGAAATGGTAAAATAACACACGGTGTTTTTCTGAAAGAAAACGCATACGGACTCCTATCTGAACGCAGAGTCACCCCATCACCCCATACAGAAATCTGCTCTTATCAAGACGCTCATTCATCGAGCTAAGAAAGTGTCAGATGGCGACAGTATGAGAAGTAAAATTCAACACGTAATAATAGGGTTTTTCCCCTTTTTTTCTGCCAACAAAACTGAAACTTTTTTACAAGGATTCATGTCTGCATTAACCACAATACCTGCAGTCAAAATGCAAACAAAAAAACATACTATGATAATATATGCATTGTCCTTGAAACGAATTGGTCTACACCAAGGGACGGCTTTCTTTGACAATGCACAATTGTCTTTGAGCTGTACGCCTTTTGGCGTCATCTGGTCGAGGACCAATTGGGTCGAGGCTCAAAAGAAAGCCGTCCGTTGGTGTGGACCAATCAGTTTCAAGGACAATGCATATATTATCATAGTATGTTTTTTGTTTGCATTTTGACTGCAGGTATTGTGGTTAATGCAGACATGAATCCTTGTAAAAAGGTTTCAGTTTTGTTGCCAGAAAAAAAAGGGGAAAAACCCTATTATTACATTTTGGTACTGGCAAAGGAGGTCAAATGATGAAATTTCAACATGTTAAAAAAGCGCTGCAAAGGAACGGTTACAATGATGCACAAATCAACAGGACATTGAATGCCAAAACCAAATCAAATACCACGAGCATTGAAACTGCCCAAGTAATTAAAACGATCAAAATACCGTACATTGCGGGAGTAACTGATAAACTAGCAAGATGTTTGGAAAAACAAAACATCTGAGTCAGATTTGGCACGGTACATAAAATACAGAAATTAATATCTCGTACAAAAGATGTATTACCGAAGCTATCAACAGAAGGTGTTTACAGGATTAACTGCACGCGTGGTAAATGTTATGTTGGGCAAACAGGACGAATGATCAGCCCGAGACTAAAATAACATAAGAGAAATATTAAATTCTCCCAAATACAACTGTCAGCAGTAGGAAAACACGCTTGCAAACAAGGACACTCAATTGGTTTTGATAATGTTGGAGTTCTGTGCAAAACTAGCTACTTCTGGCCAAGACTAATTAAATAATCTATCGAAATTGAAAGAAATTAAAATAATGTTAACCGTTCGGATAGCTACCCCCTTAGTGCTGCGTGGAAGCGAATAATCAATACATTATTTAAATGCATGCCTATAAACGGCAACATACTTCAATAGGGATTACCATTGGTACGGCTATTTTAATACACACAATAGACAGGAAGGACAAGATCAAAGGGCTCGCATAATGCATAACGTGCGTTGACTCAGTAACCCCCCCCCCCCACTTTGTGCAAGAGCGCAGAAGCGTGGTCACCACATCTACGCCTCTATATAAGGAACGAAACAGGTGGACTTATCCACAAACATGGCTATCGCCTGATGAAGCCAGTTGTAATTACTGGCGAAACGTCGTACTCAGATTGTAAATGTTGTGGCTCAGCTCTCCAACACACCGGTGTGCTGTACTAGTGACGAATTGTGACGTTCTGTTTACGTGACAACCCTTACTAGTTGGCTGTGTCGGGTGGTGGCGGGTTTTGATGACACATTTATATATTTACGCGATCTAACCCAAAAAAACCTATATTATAGACATGATACATATATATATCGTAAGGGCATGTGCTGGCTTTGTGATGGACTACGATGGCTGGTTATTTGTGATGACGACTTGGTGATGACTTTTTAAGAGAGCTGGTGATGGTTGATGATGACTGGTGATGGTTGATAATGGCTGGTGATACCGTTTGATTTCTGATTGAGGCTCCTTCATTATTCGTGATAGCTGGTGATGGCTGATGGTGGCTGGTGATTATGATTTCTGATGGAAGCTGGTTATTATTAGTGATGGCTGGTGATGGTTGGTAACCTTACCTCAGGCCCCGATATGTGTAGGAAGCCAGACACGGCTGCTGCCACGGTATCAATGCCACCTCGTTGCATGTACGGTCCCGTTTGCCCGTATCCTGTTGGGTCAAAGCACAACGCTTACCAGATGACACAACCCAACAAATATTTATTTTCATTTGTGATCAGGGGGTCGAACCAAAGTTGTTGTAGTGATGTCCCTTGAATACCGAGGAAAGCCTCAATGAGTCTCAATACGGTTTTCAGGACACTCTTGCATTTTGAATATTTAGTCAATTCCATGCATAAGTGTTTCGCCATTATATGGGAGGAAACCAGAGCATCCGGAGAAATCGTAAGAGTCAAAAGCTCAGCCCAGATAGATTCAAGAATTTAATAACTCATTGCCGTATTGTCATCTCCTACAGCGGCCTCTTGCAGTGACATATATCACTGAGGGGTACATTAATAGCCCCGTCAAATGTGTTTGAAAGCTCCACTCGGCAGTTAGTCAGAGCTTCCCTACTCCTGTCCTAGCCAATAGCACCACGACCTGCTGCATGGTATGCAGCATGGTATGCAGCAGGTCGTGGATTTGATCCCGACCCTGATGCCTTCTGTATATTTGGAGTTTGCATGTTCTCCCCGTGTTCGCGTGGATGTTTCTCCAGGGTTCCTCCAGTTTTTCCCTCAACATTTAGAATCAACAGGCGTTTTAGAGTATTTGGCTGCTAAAAAACATAAGCCACTTCGTTCAGCTATCATTTGTGGCCAGGCTGCTTCTGAAAAATAACTTACCTGGCAGGATAAGAAATAATAGTTTATAGCTGCTCTACAGTGGTGTATGTCCACCTGGACATCTGTGAAAAAGAGCTTCATAGCCCATCGAGATTCCTCCAGTCTAAAATGAAGATTCCGATTCTGACTTTGTTCCACGTGCATCGTTTGGTGAGACCTGTTATGGAGCAGTAGATGAGACGAGGCGCGTCCTCCCGCAGCTGCTCGTATCCCAGCCCCAGCTTGGAGAGCTTCCCGGGAACGTAGTTCTCCACCAGCACGTCGCTGACCCGCGCCAACTGGGGATGGGTTTTTCAAATGTCGCGCAGTAATAACAAGAAATAACCGTCCGTCTATTTATCCAGGAAAGCCTCACCGAGACATGCAGAAAGCGCCTGTGTACTTCCAGTTCAAACACTGAGAATGTATTTAACTTTTAATTAAAATAATGGGGGGAGGGGGGGCGAGAGTGGCGGGTGCAGCGGTTTGCGGACTGCGGTTTGAGTGCCGCAGCAAGAGTTTGGTTCCCGGCCGTGGCTATCTGTGGTGAGCGGAGAGAGTGGGGGGGGGTCATTTCATTCCTTGCACCAGGGCCCGTGCCAACCCCGCTCCACCGCTGAATGTAGGCCCTCAATGTTGCGCCACTGCAATCTCTTTTGTTGTCCTGCCCCCCGCACCTCCAAGTAGCACGGTAGACTTCGTACGGTGCCCGAGAAGTTCAACGTACGCACACACATACATCTCTCACCTCCTTGACCACCATCACTCCCTTGGGATGCTTCAGGTTGATGGCCACGCTCTGCGCGAGAGGAAACGGGTGGATAAAACGTGGCGACGCTCTTGTGTGTTGCCACTGCAGTTGCCCAGCGGTAACACTCGTGGCTCACAGCAAAAACGCCCTGGGTTTGATTCCCGACTCGGGCGTCATTCTGCGCGGAATTTATAAGTTCTCCTCTTGTCCTGCATGGATTTCCTCTAAATTCTCAGAGTGTATTTGTTCATGTTTATTTATGTGCTCTTATTTGTTGACGCTGGTAGGAAATATTCAGCCGTCAGATGTTTTTCAAGAATGACCCGCAGAGTTATAGCATAAAATCATAACATTTGTGGAAAACAACATTGAAGTCATGCACCATTCAAGTGACACTGGCAGGTCATGCGCATCAAGACTGAAACACCAACTTGCACCAAGTCCGCTAACCACATGTGCAGGGATGGAGTGCGTATCAGAAATATAATTTTTTTTAAAAGATCAGAGAAGGGAAGAGGGATTTAAGCAAAAACACGAAGCGAGCTCGTTCCAAAAGTAAAGGGGCGGACACGTGAGATGGATTCTCACTGTGGCCGGACCTCACTCGGGGTGCATTCAGGGGAAGCAGAGAGGAGCTACTAAGGCCACGTGACGAGGATCACAGTGTAAGGTGGTCACCGAGGTGATTAGCTGATTTGGAGGACTTGGAGGATGAATGATGTGCAATGACGCTGTCTCTAAGTATCAAGGAGAGCGAGGTTTGCGTTGAGCACAGATCACAGCGGTGCGGTCTGTATGGGGCGCCGAGCGCCAAACAAAGAGGGGCTGAATGGAAGAGGGGGACAAAGCGTTGGAGGACAGCCTGTGAGGCTGGTCTGTAGGCTCACACGTTTTGATTATTTAGGTTGTTTTTCTGCAATAAATTTCCACGTGATAAGCCACTTCGTTGAGTTATCATTTGTGGGCAGGTCGCTTCTGAAAAAGAAGCTAATAGCCCTGGGCTTATGTTTATTCTGTATTTTTTAAAAGTAATTTTGTTACCTTTCCTATACTTTTAACTACTATCGTGTTTTTGTATTGTTTATTGTTGTAACGTTCTGACCTGCCCCTAGTGGACATCTGTGACAAAGAGTTTTACAGCTCATCGGATTTCTCCAGTATAAATAAATATTCTGATTCTGACAGACAACATCACAGCGAGTGTGGTAGCTTTGACGAGGTCCAGACTGAGATGGACGGGAATGCAATGCCTCTTTCTTTCTGTAGAGGAAAGCAATTTTTATTTTCTTAGAAACGTTCTACATGAGCCTGGAAAGAGATTTTGGAATCTAGGATAACACTCAATTATATGTTTAAAAAATTCATGTTATATAGCGTAAAGGACAACAGCAATAAAATAAAATAAGAACAAACAATACTGCCCCTCGCAAGACACATGCACACCAAAACCAAGGCGGTAATAAACAAAAAGGGTTCTTAAACGGAACGTAAATAGTGGAAGCGACTACATTTTGGTGAATATGAAGTGGGAGTGCATTCCACACTCAAGATATGTGAGCTTATTTTTGGTGACAGGCGAAGTTTGGTCGCAGCATGGGCTTAAAGTGCCCCGCGTATCTCTTCTATACATGTTATGAAAGTTGAGCCTACATGCGCTGTGAGTGGACTAGTGGCCACGGGAGGTAATGACAGGAGAGTCAGCCTACGTGCGAATGCACTAGTGGCCATGGTAGGTAATAACAGGGGCATCAGTTGTGAGTGCGAAGGGACTGGTGGCTACTGGAATGATCGAGAAGGGAGGGTGGTCAGGTGATGGAAGAGGACGGCGGAGTCAGCGAGAATGATCGAGAAGGTGGGCGTGGCCTCGTGTTGGTATATAAAAGGGGGAGATGCGCAGGAGACTCGGGGCTGCTGCAGTGGGGGTCTCCGCCTGATTTTAAGTGACCGTGTCTTCAATAAAGTGCCATCTCAAGAGAAGTGTGTAAAGTCGTCATAACACATGTGCTAATTAAGCAACTGCAAGCTGCACACACCTGATGGTTGGTGATCACAGGGGATTGTGAGGACTAAAGTAGAGATGATCCCAAATGGCACGAACGATTCTTTCAGTTTACTGCAGCATTGGGTGACAGTTTTAAAAATGAATCATCTTAAGCCCTCTGCCCCCCCCCCCCTCAATCTGCCCCCCCCCCTCGTACCTTCTTGTTGCGATTGACACTCAGGAAGTAGACGCTCTCCGTGTTGGCAAACGGGGGCCCCCACCTCCGCGTCTCGTCCCCCAAACCTGCGCCCGAATTTCCCACCGACCCCCAAAAGTGGCGTGGGCCGATTGGGTGGATCAGATTGACAACGCGACGCAGTACAAATCACAATCGGCGGTACAAATGAGACGGACATCGCAGACGAGACAACAAAACGGACAAGAATAAATGGCGCAGGCATGAGCCAATGAGTAACAACACGCTTTTAAAATAGATGCAAAGCCAGGCACTGGTGGCTACGCTGCACATGGCCTATAGTCCAAAGAGAGTTGGTGAATCACACATTCGTGAAACCCCCTATCTTTGGCTGGGAAGGTCACAATTATCTGGCTTACCAGCGTACGGCAGTACAGCAAGTGGATTCATTTCCATCTGTACAGAGTGAGTGTTACCACCTTTGCAGACGTGGGTCTTCCCTGCGTATGCCGGCTTCCTCCCACATGCATAAACAATCATTAATGGAGTTGGACAAACATCCCAATATAGGACGGCAGACCTTGGGTAATTATTGGCGCCAACTCTGGCTGCCTTCCTCCCACTGGTCTGTGGTTTCACACGCCTCCTTGCATAAATTGTGCGCCTCGTTTAAAATAATTATGCAACATTGAGATGCAATTTTCCTAGATTACAATCTTCATCTTGAATCTAATCATGACAATTTCATGACTATCTCTGGGCGGAGGGGGGGTGGTGTCAACTGATGAATCTTGACACGTCTAGTCGGCGATCTAGCCCCGTGTTCTCTGAGTTGTTTCTTACCTGGACGTTCCACCTTGATGACCTCTGCCCCGAGGTCGCCCAGGATCATGGTGGCAAAGGGGCCGGCCAGCACCCTGTGGGGAAGAGAAAGGTGAGGGGGGGGGGTGGTGGCGCAGGTGTGCGTGAAGCATCGGGGTGGAGAGAAAATCAAGGAGGGAGAAAGAAGAAGACATTAAGTCTGAACATTTGAGTCCAGTCCACAGTTAGCACGTTGGAATAACAACACTGATTTCAGTCTAATGCAAAAGTGGCTCATAAACTGGGTCAAGGATGGATCCTGAACATTTGTCGGTAACTGACAAATGATGAAAGTCCGGCAACAGCTACGCACCTAAATAGTAATGTGAGATTTAACGCTTTTTCAAGATGCACCATTCCTACCCCTGATAGGGCAGTTGGAGGAATAGTTAGAATAATAATAATTTCCAGCCTGGATGAAGAACTACCCATGCCGTTTTGGTGGTGGGGGTAGTTTGACCATACTTCCCATGCTGATCTTGCAGCTTTGGTGAAGGGACGGGGACAGGGGGGGAGGGGATAACCCATATCCGGGTACGACTCCACTCATTATTGGAGTCTTAACCGTGGCCGGGCATTGAACGCAGGTGGCCAGAGGCTCGTAGGGCGGGTGTGTGCGCCGCAGCGTTACGGCTCCCCCTGGAGGAGCGGTGTGGGAGATTAATTCCGTGTTTAGTTCCAGGTGCTTGACGGAGAAACTCCCACGGAGGCACCGACGCGCCTAGCTGGACATCTGTGAAAAAGAGCTTTCTCGCTCATCGGATTCCTGACGGTATAAATATTTAATTCTGATTCTGAACTGCACAAGAGAGCTGAAGCGCGTGGTTGTACAAGGGGACAATTCTTTACACCCAATGGCGACCGTTGCCTATTGTGGAGGCGAGAAACGGCAGGCCGGCAGGCATCCAGTACCCTTTAGTCCAGGGTCCCCGACCCCCGGGCCGTGGGCCGGTACAGGTCCGTGGCCTGTTAGGAACCGGGCCGCACAGCAGCAGGAGGAGGTGAGAGCGGTGAGTCCGCACGTGGCCCGCCTCCATTTTTTTTTATTATTCACCACTTCCGTCCGCGCCTCTTTCCCGCACTGCCGCACTCGTCTCAGTCACAGTTTTGGTAAGCCCACAAGCTCTAACCCCTAGTAGCCACAATGAGTAAAAAAACAAACGTCGCTGGAGAACTTCTTTCAAAAGGGGGAAAGACCCAATGATGAAACCCCCCCCCCCCCACCCCAATCCGTGAAAATATTGTCTTCCACGAAACCGGTCACTGGTGCCAAAAAGGTTGGGGACCGTTGATCTAGAGCAGTGGTTCTCAACCGGGTGGGGTACGCGGACCCCTGAGGGCAGCGTGGCAATGTCCCAGGGGGGTAAGTGAGGTGATTTATAATTGTGTGAAATTATATCACGTACAAGAGCCACTGGTGACTAATCGTGTATGGATGTGCCAACATTAAATAACTACCAAAGAATAACTACCAAAGAAGATGAATCCTTGCAGTCACGAAAGCTTTAAATCGAAACTACGACAACAGTTAAATCCGATAATACAATGCCTTTCTACGCTCATTGATTCACAAAAAAATGGTTTCCAGGAGTAACCAGCAAGCGCGAAACAAATTTACGTCACACATGCAGAGCATCCGTTTAAATAGGTTGTATTCAGTTGCAGTTTACTAGCAATAATAATAATAATAAACGTTTTTGGGTTAGATCGCGTTATTTATAAATGTGTCGTAACCCTTCACCACCCTACACGGCCCATCAGCAAAAAAAGTGTCACGTTGACAAAAGACAAAATAGTTCACTACTTTAGCCCACCGGTGTGTTGAAGACTGAATCCACAACATTTACGATTTTATTTGAGTACGCCGTTTTGCTGGTAATTACATCCAGCATTATCGGGCAATTCGCCAAAATGGTGAAGCCCTCACTTGCTCCCGGTCTTAAACAGAGCAGCAAGGTGACGTCATCATATAACTCATTCAGGTGCAATGATTTGAGGCGGAGGTGGGGGTAATTATATAAATTCATTAATCCCTAAGGATGAGCAATACCAAATTAGGCCAAGGGCCTCAAAACCACCTAGACTGTATGGGCTACTAAAGATTAATAAAATCGGCATCCCATTACGACCCATAGTACAATTGGCTCTGCCACATATAAATTAGCTAAATATATAACTAAACAAATACAGCCCTACATCGGTAAGACAGCTTCATTCATAAGAATTTCAGAACATCTTGTGAATGTGATTAAATATATGAAACTTAACCCTAATGATATTCTGGTGATTTTTGATGTGATGTCTCTTTTCACTAAGGTTCCAGTGAACGAGTCAGGTTTACCAAAAGATATTCCGAAACTCGCTGACCATTATTTAAATAACACTTACTTTTTATGGAGAGGTGATTTCTTTAAACAAAAGGAAGGAGCAGCAATGGGCTCTCCTTTATCTCCTGCTATAGCAAATCTTACATGGAAAACTTTGAAAGAAGAGCACTTGCCTCAAGCACATTAAAACCATCTTTTTGGTTTAGATATGTGGATGAAACTTTGGTTGTCTGGCCACATGGTAAAGATACACTTAATGATTTTCTAAATCATCTCAATGCACAAAACCCGGCCATTCAGTTCACCATGGAATGGAGGTGAATAACACACTCCCGTTCCTAGATATTTTGCTTGGTCATGGCCTAAATGGTAAAATAACACACAGCGTCTACAGAAAGCAAACGCACACTGATGCTTATCTGAATGCAGATTCACATCATCACCCAGCTCAGAAATCCTCTCTTATCAAGACACTCATACATCGGGCTAAAACAGTATCAGATGGTGAAAGTCTAGTGAGAGATTAAACATGTTAAAGAAGCACTACGACAGAATGGCTACAATAATGCTCAAATTAACAGAGCACTAAATGCCAAATCACGATCGCAAAGCAACACTGCTGAAAGCGATCAGATTGTTAAAACAATTAAAATACATATATCTCAGGAGTAACTGACAAATTAGCCCGTGTTTTGCAAAAAGCAAAACATTACAGTAAGATTTGGTACAGTACACAAAATTCAAAAACTAGTATTTTACACTAAAGACGAATTACCTTAATTATCAACAGAAGGTGTATATCGGATTGTTTATGTGGCAGATGCTATATTGGCAAGACGGGACGTAACATCAGCGTAAGACTAAAAGAACACCAAATAAATATTAAATTGTCTCAAACACAACTGTAGGCAGTGGCAGAACATGCTTGCCAACAAGGACACTCAATTGATTTTCATAACGTTGAAGTGTTGTGTAAAACTAATTATTACTGGCAAAGACTAATTAGAGAATCCATTGAAATTGAGAGAAATAGAAATAACTTTAATCGCTCTGACAGCTACAGGCTTAGTACGGCCTGGAAGCGTATTATTAAATAATGCATATTACAATTCCTTATAGAGGAAACACATACTAAATAACGGATTACTAACGTAGCATATTATTACAATAACACACATTACAACTAATTACTAAACTACAACTCATTACTAATCATAACAATTGACTGATTACCAATCTATTATATAATTACAATACCTCCCCTTCCGCCTCAAATCATTGCACCAGAATGAGTTAAATGATGACGTCACTCTGCTGCTGCTCATTTTAAGACCGAGAGAAAGTGAGGGCTTCACCATTCTGGCGAATTGCCCAATGATGCTAGATGTAATTACCAGCGAAACGTCGTACTAAAAAAAATTGTAAATGTTGTGGATTCACTCTTCAACACACCGGTGGACTAAAGTAGTGAACTATTTTGTCATTTGTCAACGTGACACTTTTTTTGCTGATTGGCCGTGTCGGGTGATGGAGGGTTACGACACATTTATAAATAACGCGATCTAACCCAAAAACTTTTATGAATAATATTGGTCGCGAAAGCCTACGTGTTAAAGTTACTAGCGAGTTCTGATACCTCGCAAAGTAGTCGATTGGTTAAAATGTTGATATATTTTATTTCTCAGAGCCATGTTGGGTCATGCAAGTGGGCACTCAACAAGGGGGGGGGGGGTAGAGCAGCCCAAAAAAGTTCGAAAACCACTGCTTTAGTCAGAGAGAGAGAGGGCCAGAGCAGGATACTGCATGGGAGATTGGCAGAAAAAAAGCGCCCTTCTTTAACGGTGTGCGCCTGGGTGGTGTACGTGTGTGCAGAGGCGAGGTGAACTTTGGATGCAAGTTGTGGCTTTATAAAAGGACAATAAAACCCCAACGACCGACCAGGGGGTCACAGGTTCCATTGTTCCGATGACCACCGTGCCACACGCTGCTTCAACGGGTGACACAATTTACTGGGATAAAGGAAGTAATCGATTATTTGAATTGATCACATTTTGTTCCGGAAAGCTTCGATGAGCCTCAATACACTCCTTCAAGAGCGTCATGTATTGGGATGTTGTTTGGCCAGTTCAATTTTTTTAGAAGTGTTTTTGCACGTAAGATAAAAGTACCCAGAGAAACCACACGTCATGTGAAAACCACGTGACCTTCACAGATGAGTCGTCGCCAAACCAACTTGCTCTACTGCCGCCTCTTGGCCAGCTTGGAACTTGGGGCCTTTTGGAATGTTCTGCATGATCCACCAACCCTAGCCTCCAAATCTCTGGAGGCATGTGACGTCATGCTCTTGACTCTGTTGCGAAACGTCACTCTAAGATGTTCTTTGTTCATTATTTGTTTGTTGCGATTGCACCCGAGTCAAGAGCCTCATGGCTCACAGGGCGATACCTAATAAATGAAACTGAAATCTGAAAAAAATGACTCGCGATTATCTATTTTTTTTGCTTAAAAAAAATGTTTCCGCAATTTTGTCCCAAAGTCTATATATTTCACGAGCCGTGAAACGAGGTCTCAATGCGTTTTCTAGCAGAGCAGTGCAATCTCCCCTATAGGTTACGAGCCTCTGGAACGGTATCGTAAAACTATTTGAGATCCCAGAATAGGTTTTTTTCCATTTTTTTCAGAATGCAAACAAAAAAAACACTGATACTATATGCATTGTCCTTGAAACTATCACCGTTTGAAACGAGGCTCAAAAGAAAGTTGTCTCTGGTGTGGGCCAATCAGTTTCAAGGACAATGCATATATTATCAGTGTGTTTTTTTGTTTGCATTCTGACCACAAGTATTGTGGTAACTGCAGACATGATTCCTTGTAAAAAGGTTTTAGTTTTGTTGCCAGAAAAAAAAGTGGAAAAACCTATTCTTATATTTTGGCACTGGCAAAGGAGGTCCCATGATATATGAGATCCCCTTCAAGTGACCTCTGGTCCACACAGTTGGCGGCACCACTTCGCAGCTGCTCTGCCACCGAGAGTAAGTTGCGAAACATTAACAATCAAACCGATATATATTTTAGTTCTCAATGATGAAATTTTAGCCATAACTAAGTGAATAACCAAATTTGAATGTTTTTTTGTGTGCAGTCATGAGTGGCTGGGCTGAGACCACCTCCCTACCCTTGAGGGACCTCGTTGGATTCTAACCCAGGATCTTGGTGCTAGCTCAAGGATCTGACCTCGGAACCACTCAGTCACCTGATGATGACTATTCTGATGATGAACATATCGGTCTGTTGAACTTCTTTCGCACCGTTCGTAGCCAACCGTGCTAATCGGAGGTGCGGTGGAAGGACAACAGACTGATCACAAAAAGCAGTTCTAAAGTAATGTTTTCAATCTAGATGGTTTAAAAGTGCATAGCTCCAGCGCCTTCCTAACATGAGAAGGAAGAGCGTCCCAGACGGTCGCAGAAGCGCATCTGAAAGTGCGCGATGCGGTAACCGTTCGATGGCCAACAAAAAGCCGCTGCTGCGAGGATGACCGTCTATCCTGAGCCAGGATAGTCAGACTTGACGCTACATCTCTTCAGAATGAGAATATTTATGCTGGAGGAATCCGATGAGCTATGAAGCTCTTCATCACAGATGTCCAGTATTCCTCAAGGAGACCTCACGGCTTTGCTCCATACCTGCTGAGATCAAGGACTCTGATGCCATCCAGAGGTCTCCCTCCATCCTCTCCTGCAGGGGAACAACACAGGGCTCAAGTGCTCCACATCACCACGATATCGCAACCGGTGTGGTTCCCCACGTTCTCGCAGCTCTTTGGTATATTTTTTTTTTATTCGACACGAACGCGAGCAATATTAAGGGAAGGCGGAGGGGGCACAGAAATTCCGCAGGTAGAGTCCCGAACAATGAGCTCATGGGTTAGGGGAGAGAGAGAGAGAGAGGAGGAGGAGGGGGGGATGATGGGCTCACAGCTCCACTTACGAAGAGGCTGCGAGCGGGAACGCGGATTTGTTTTTTTGTTTTGATACGGGGAAGGGAAAAGCAAGGGCCGAGTAAAGGTAATACATTCTCGCGGCTCGTATTTGTCCCTGGTGTGCATGTCCATGTACGGCCTGTCTGTATCAATCCACTGCTGGATGAGGACCTCTCTCCGCCATGGGGGGTGGGGGAGGCGAGGCGGAGGTTACTCGTCGATGGATGTGTCGCCACTGCCCAGGATGCCTCCTCCTCCTTTCTTCTTCTCCTTCGCGTGTCAAGAGCGCACGGTGGCAACGTAGATCGGGAAACGTTCCCAATAGAGGACAATCCGCACCACCACCACCACCACCCCCGCCCCGCACCACCGTGGAGATGGAGCTATGAAATCGCGGTGATTACGAATGACGTTGCGTCGCGAGCGCCGTGAGCGCTGGTGACGGCTTTGGGAAGGCATTCGAGCCAGCTGTGGAGAGATCAAGGCTCCCGACAATGACGGGCACCGCACAAGGTAGGTCAATGTCGTTATGATGTACACATTATTTCATGATAACAGTAACCTTGCACAGCACGGCTGCATTACGATCTCTTACCAGAAAGCCTTCTCAGTTGTATAACGGCCGGTCGGGAGGGTCGTGGAATGCGCGGCAGCTCCTTTAGAAATCCGTGGAAGATCATCGCGGGACGCGGAGCAAGTGAGTGGGCAGAGTGCCCTGGAAAGCCGGTCGGAAGGTTATCGACTATGATTCACTTCCAATCCGCCCTCCAGCGTCGCCAATTAGGCACTGCAACGGCCCTTTAACTGGATTCGACTGCGGGCTCGAGGCATTGCAATTGCTTCCCAGTAAATTAATAAATATTATCACGCAGCGGAAACACGTGGCTGGTTTTGAGACCACCTCGCTCTCACGCACGCCCCCCTGTGTCCACAGATACCAGAGTGAAGTGAGTGGGGGGGGGGTAGCTCAAGACCTAAAAATAAATATGTATGGACACTGTATGTTGAACTTCGTGCGCACCGTACGTAGCCACACGGGCGGGGGGAAGTACAACAAACTAAATATGTTGTAGCAATTCTAGATTTGACGTAGCAAGCGCATCTTTCACGGGGTATGTATTTCTAAGAGGGTTTAGACCAGGCAGGACGGGTGGGGAAAATGCTACCCCCTACTTTTGTTGACCAGAGGTCCCTTGAAGGGCTGTCGAGAGCAGCGCTGTGACATCTACTTCCGCGGGCCGTTCTCAAACGTGACGGTGTTGCACTGCTTCTGAGAATGATACGCACGGATGGTTTCGTCTCGTGACAATACGATCGGGGACGCCACGGTGGCGAGATGTTAACTACCTCGCATGATATGCAAGAAGGTCGTGGGTTCCATGCCGACCCTAACGCCTGCATATTTTCAAGATCTCCCCGTGGTCGCGTGGATTTTTCTCCGGGGTCCTCCAGTTTTTCCCTCCACATTGAGAAACGTGTTCGGAGTGTTGGGCTGCAATACATTTCCACATAAGGCACTTGGTTGAGCTATCATTCGTGGCCAGGTCGCTTCTGAAAAAGAGCAATGTAGTTCAGTGGGCCTTACCTGGTAAAATATAAAAAAAATTTGGGGGTGGACGGGTGTGACATACAAATTGAAAATTTGAAGTGCATCAAAGAGTTATGTTTAACTTTTTGGACTGGGTTTTAATTGCAGGTAATTATTTTGACCCGTGAGTCTTGAAATGCCCTTTATCCAGGAGCGCATCACGGAGTCTCAATATTTGTTGTCTTCAGGCGCGTCCTGCCTTGCGATGTTTGGCCGTTGCCGTAAATGATGGTGTTGAGACTTCTGAAGGGAGTGCGAGGACGGACTCGCCAACCCACTGTGCTCCACCGCCGTCTCCTCGCGGACGTGCCAGCAGAAAACCTCGCGAATCGCCCATCACCGTCTTGTCGGCGTTTCACAAATCTGTGATTCACCAACCCCTAAGCACCTTCGTTTGCTGGGCTGATCTTGACGATGTTCTTTGGTTAACATCTACTGAGTCTACTGGGGGGGGGGGGGGGGTTGGCGAATTGGAGTGTCCTGTCTATTGTAGGTTGTTTTAATATGGGGGGGACAACTGTAAGTTGGCTATTGCTTCAGCACTGATTGGGCTGATAACCCCCTCTTTTCCCTCTGCTGAAGTCTTGGTCAAGTCAACACACGTGGTATACGACGTGATTTATAACACCAGCGGTGGCGTTTTCTTGGGTCGTTGCTCAAACAAGGTGACGCTACAGGGTTGCGTGAGCCTGCATTTTGTTACAGGATTCGGCTACGTAAATATGATTAGTCATGGTTTACTTAATATTGGCGTAGGCAGTAGGGGTTAGGGTAGCAAATGGTTACAGGATAAAGTATTTTTTTAAAATATCGGGGGGGGGGGGGGGGGGGGACAACCAAAATGTGTACTTATTAAACCGAACGTGATAAACAATCGCTGTGCAGCATAAAAAAAACTAACTTCATACGAATTCCATAATTTATTTCGCAATGCGAAACAATCCAAACTACATGGGAATGGTGCCAAGTTGGTATAACCGAGATTGGGTTCGAATCCTGGCAGCTGCTTGTGATTAAACTGCGTGCTCAAGTGTGTAGAGAATTGATGGTCTCAACCACACCGATAAATTTATAACATCACATTCAATTCGGTTCTACATTTAATTGTGCGATGTCACAGCTCTAAGAATTACAAATACTGTACCGGTTTGACTGTCTTGGAATGTACATTTTCCTCTCTGGCAGGAGAGATGGGAAAGTGCTGTCCCCTCTAAACCAGACTTAAAGGGTACTCAGAGGGAGTTCTTGTGATATCTGCTTCTGTGGACCGCTATCGAACAGAAAGGATTGCGCTGCTTTGTGGGAGATCTGAACGGATACGACAGCCTCATGACATAACGCCGATACTACGATTGGTATATAACTGGACCAATCTCTTCTCACAAAAAAATAATAGAAATTCAAGATTGCAAGTCCTCAGCGACACAGCCAGTTCCACGTTCATCAAAACAACTTTTATTAAATGAAATAGAGATTACGTTTCAAAAAAATACATTCTGTACATAGTGGTTAAATGATTGGTGGCAAATTTTTAAATAAAAATAACCCAATGTACAAGTCGCGAGCGGGCGGGTGCAACAGAAAGCGGTGCCAAGGCTTGGTTGAGTTTAAAACGCAAGGGCAGACATCGATGGCGCAACTCTGAAGCGTGCAGCTTCAATTCACAGAACGACGAGTCATTTATCTTGTGCAAACATTACAAGGCTGCGACGATCCCTGTAGTTCAGTGGCATGGATTTATAAAAGGGGGGGGGGGGCAAAATATGGTAATCAAGTCACCGATTTCTGACCCCCGCGCTGTAGGGTGAGGCTCCGTGCGTACTACAGCTTTACCTTTGTCTTTAGCAAAGAGCGAAGGAGAGCATCGGTGATCAGATAGAAAATACACATGTAGGGCGACATGCAAACTACCCGTTGTATCATTGCATTGTCTTTTGTCTGCTTGATTTTTTAGCAGAATCTATTAACACTTTATAGTGTACATTTTGGTTTAGATTGTTTTTTTTATTATCCAAGCCTGGCATGTCAACTTGCACAAGGCAAGTATGCTTGACGTTTCGAAAAGCCCATAATACATGGAATTGGCCCAACATCTCAAAACAGGACCCTCCTGAAAAGGAGTCTTGAGACTCGGCGAGGCTTTCCTGCATTCGAGGCACTGTTGTAAGCGTATCATTAACCAAGCTGCCCTCTACCCATGTGGATGGCCGTAGGAGTTTGTTCATTGCAAAAATCACCACTTTCCATTCTCTTGCCACTTACGCTACTCAAGTGCTCCGTAAAACACACCACTTATACATTTGTGGTTTGTTAAAGCAAAACAAAAACAGCAGACAAGCCCGGTGTTTATACCAGGTGCAGGTAGAGTAATAACAAATTCGAAACAATATTTTTTTTAAAAGCCATAACAAAAAAATGCCACATGCAAATGAAAGTACATGTTTTTTAACACTTAATTTAAATACGGTCCTGTACTGTTTTTGGATGCCACTTTTAGAACAACCCGATCTAAATTGCACACCTTTTAGAAAGGTTGTACATGCCAGGTGCACCCAATTAAGAGAGCATACACAAACAAGAAAAACAACAGGGCCACTTATACATCGCGGTGCGAAAGAAGTTCAAACATACATACATCACACCCCAGCATACAAACATTAACACTGCGGTGGGTAGGGGAAGACAAACGACAGAGATTGTATGTGGGCGTCCACCGGCACACGACGCATATCTCACACGGACCAAATCACACACGCCTCGTGTGTTGTGCATAACCGATGTCTTTTGCACCCAATCTCCATGTGAATGGACAAAGGGAAGCACAGAGAGGCTATGCCATGAGCAAGTTGTGACGTCTATGATGAGAAACAGCATTGGGCTGACTCAATTAAATTCTGATCTCCGTGTTTACCACAATGACACAACCGATGTGGGGCAATACCTCTCATTTTACATGCAAAATGTGCACACCGATCAATGCTAGGCAAAACGATTCACCACCCCCCGCCTCCCAAGAAATACAATGAATTGTTACGATTTGGGGTCACAATTAAATTCTCATTTGTATTGTTTCTCATTTTTGCCACCTCATTTGTAGTTGCGTTCCCCCATGAGAAGAAATGTTGAAAAAATGGCAATGAATTAGCACATGCATGATTGAATGCATGTATCATGAGAATCAATGAATTAGCACGTGCATGCTTGAATGCATGTATCATGAGAATCAATGAATTAGCACGTGCATTATTGAATGCATGTCTCATGAGAATCAATGAATTAGCACGTGCATGATTGAATGCATGTATCATGAGAATCAATGAATGGATGCATCCGTTATGCGTTTAGTATTCGTGGAAGGGACAGTGTGGAATTTTATACATCTGTGCCGATACAGGCTGACGGCGTTTGGCACAATCATTCTGAAACGTCGGAAAGCGAAACCCAAGTGTAGAGTCGCATAGAGCGGTCACAAACGCATTGGAGTTCAAGCATCACGTACAGTACATCATACCGCTGGGTAACGGCCATTGGGTTCCTCCAAGTTCTTGCTGCCACGCGTTCAATGTGTCCCCGAGGAGAGGAACAATTTCGCACCATCGCAATTTGGGTTTTGCGGATAGTTCAAGAATTTGACTTTTTTTTACATGGTCGTGAACGGTAGTGCCTCTAGTAGGGACAATGCAAATCGAAATTATTATTTGTTCACTCGATATATGCCTTCTGTAACTTCAGATGAATAATCAATAATAATGGATCAAAGCATCGTTCCACTCCTAATGGCAGCACAAGGAGAAAACATTTAGTGGAACTGAACCACATGTGCTGTAATGTTACACCACAGCATTCCAGTCCAACTTCACGGTTTATAGTACAGGGCAAATACAGGTAGTGTTAGTGAAACACGTACGCGTACATAAAAACACAATTGCCAAAATGCAAATTAAACTGAATGACCCAAACTTATAGTAAAACTATCAAAGGTAATGCTTAAGCCTGGATGCATTACTTAAGAATCATATGCATTTACAATGTTACATTATTTCGCAGCATTACCTTCAATATGTTTACATTTTTGTTTTTACAAAAACAGACATAGCTTCAGAAATACAGAATAAAGGCAGCATTGTCCATGAATTCAGGACAGCAATGACCAACACGGGCAAAGCCAGTGTGTGTTGTGTGCTTCGCCCAATGGAGTACATTTCACTCTGCGGTTCGTCGCAATACATCTCAGAGTACACAATTCAGCATAAATCGGTAAGCAAAGCACGAGCGAGATAATGGAAACATTGCCACGACCCTCTGCCACGAAGGCATAAACACCACTCATTCAATAAAAAAACTACTTCAAAAAAGGAAGAAAAAATTGCTCACTGAAAACAAACCATTAAATCGTTATTTTACAGCCCATTCGCCCAATGACATTAGCACAATAGTGACCTTTCAACAGTTCAGCAAACAACAGCATCAACTCGCAAAGGCGTAAATGTAACGTGCAGCAAATGAACAGCAGAAGCTACAGCAGGAGGAGATTGTTTCAAACGAGGGTCAGTGGCATTTATCAAGGCAGGGAGAGGACTTTAGCCCCGCCATTATGCTGTCCTTGGCTTTAAACTCAGCTCGGGAACAAAGACTGAAAGAGTCCCCACATCTACTTCGCTTGGAGATACATTAGTAATTGGTTCATTTGATCTGGATTCTATTGGCACCAAATAAAATATTAGCTATATTTTTAATGTCAGGAAAGCCTTTGCAGGAAGCAGCGACAAGTCCACTTGGGATGTTGGGAGGGCAGGGGGCACAGCAATGAAACCAGCGATCATCCCATAACCACGTCCACAAGAAACTAAGCATACACTTCAGCGCAGGGTGAGGAAATGTCCTGAATGTGTTTTTTCGTTTGTTTTCATTTTACTACAAAAGCGACAAAATGGAAACCAGTTATAATCATTGTTATTTATGGTTGCTGTGCATTTTACAGTACTATTTTTTTTGAGTCAGGTAATGGGAGACAAATCTAAGAGATGTATTTGTAAGCTACGCAAATAGCCTTTATTGCATGATCAACCAATTAAACATGTGTTAAAAAATCCATGCCATTCAAAACGTTTGACTGCAATGCTTTTTGTGCAGCCTCCACAGTGCCCAATGAATTGGCACCGCTCAATTGTCTTCCGCAGATAAATCAGCAACTCCGATCTCCCGGTTCCACTAAGTGCATCTCACCCCACTAGCACACGGTACAGGGCAAATGAAAGCGCCAAGTAATTTCACAACAGAAGTGAGAAAATTTCACAATCTGCACACTGCACTGCATAACAGCCAGGATAGCTCAGCTGGCTGAGCTATCAGCTGGCTGAGCTATCCCGGCCACTTTGTAATGTCACGAGTTCAAATCCGGGGTCGGGTTAAAAGCTCCGCCCATGTCCATCTGCTCTGGCGGGTAAAAATAATCACCGCTAGATGGCAAACCAACAGTGGCCATCCTCGCAGAGAAACTGGTCCCCATTACAGGAAATGTGGAATATCCACGACAGTTTAAGGACCGCGGACAAAAACAAGCAGTGCCCAGTGGAGCACAGGGCCAGTGTGACTCTTGCAGTGGATCGGCCTGCACGGAGGAGCCTTCCATGTTAAACGTGATCATGCAAACAAGGCTAGTGGTGGCGGTGGTGTGCGCCGAACTCTCACAGCAGTGTGCACCGCTCGCGGATCCTCTTGGCCAGGCTCTTGTTGTTCTTTTTCTTCTTCTTGCCATTGTCCTTGCTGTCCTCCATCTTCCTCGTCCGGATCTCTCGCATCAGGTCAAAGAAGACCTTCGCAGCGACAGGAGGCAGAGCAGGCGTTACGTTGAAGTTTTGTTTCATTCCGTTAACGCGCCATGCTTCACTAAGGAATACTTTGCCACGTAAATATTCACTAGGAAGGATTTAGTGAATCATCACAATACAGGGTTGCGATTCAATGCAAGGATAGATTATTTTTGCCTTGTTTTTACTGACCTCTTCTGGACAGTTTTGTACACATTTAATTTGCAGAAATATAAAATTAGAACATAATTAACTTAAATATTAATGAAATTATCCTGACATGTGCTTTTCCACTTGTATAATGAGCATAAGAATAAATTGTAATTAATTTAAAAAATGTTATTGTCTTCACAAATTATTACATCAAATCGTTTTGATAAAGTTGTGTTGTTTAATATATGTTATAAACTTAACAGTGAATGCTTGTCTTTTAATATCAGTGTTATTTTTTTCAATATTGATTTACTTGTTTTATTTCGTATTCATGCTTTGTGTCCACCCCCTTCCCCATTGATCCAAATCAGTTCTGTGATTTGTCTGCTGACAGAGGCAATGTTAAATTAACCTTCATAATGAGATTCCGCTTACCAAATCACCCACAATGCGCTCAAATATCATTGGCTCTCAAAACCCAAGCAGGCCTGAGCCTGCTTATTGCTTTGGTGGACGACCACCATGCATAACAGGTGCAATAGGCCACGGAACTTCGCTGTGGGCCGCAGAGGACATTGCAGCAAAATCCATCGCTGTACTGTACTTCTACACTCTCCCCCCTTCACCAATTCTCACCAGGCCGGCGTGCAGAGCGAAGTATAGTCGAATAACCCCCCCTCCCCCCTCCATGGCCCCGGGTCGGCAACCAAAATAACAGGAAGTGCGATTTTTTTTTGGAAAAATATTTCCAGAGCAGCAATGCACGTGAATACGAGACGGTGGTCCTGAAAATAATTTTCGCGAAGTGGTCCTTAAAGAGCCGCATGCGGCTCCGGACTCGCAGGTTGGCGACCCCTGTCCGTGACCAAACATGGCGTGGGATGGCCCTCAACCAGAGTGAATTGCCGAAGGGGTAGTGTGTTAGTCGTGAGATACAGCGTTGGTGCGTAGCAACTAATCTGCATCATCAGAACAGCGATACACTCCGCTGCTCCTGACGTGGCTGTAAAATTGTAGTTGCTGCTCTGCATCTACATTAGCCATTACGATAAAACACATTTTATTTTATTTTACTAGGTAAGGCCAACTGAGCTATACACCTCTTTTTCAAAAGCGAGCAGGCCACAAATGACAGCTCAAAGAAGTGGCTTATCACGTGGAAATGGATAGCAGTCGAAAAACCGGAGAAAAATCCACGTGACCACGAGGATCGAACCCATGCCCTCCTGTTTACCAGGCGAGGGAGTTAACATGTTGTCACCATACGAAAGAAGGACAGGCGAGAACAGGTGGGAACGGGGTGTGGGGAGGGGGGATACTGGTGCACCTTGTCGACGTTGGCACGTGTCTTGGCCGAGGTCTCGACGTAGCTCACGCCCCACTGGTCGGCGCGCGACCGCGCCTCCTCCACCGACACCTGGCGCCGCTCCTCAAGATCCGACTTGTTCCCCACGAGCAGGAACGGGATGCTCTCGTCTTCCTTCACGCGCAGGATCTGCTCGCTGTGCGCACAAGACGGCGACGGTCTCGCTTCCGACTTCTTCGCCTTTCGCGTTTGCGACGCATTCCGCGGGGGGCGCAACGCTCTGGCCGACTGCGCCGTGGAGGCCGGCGGCCAGATGGAGTGGATCGATCGTATGCAAAGCGCATCATGGGAAAATATAAATGCAGGCGGTCTCCGGCTGGCGACGTTCCGATTTATGACAATGCACATTCACGACGTTCTTATAACGCCACCGTGGATCGATTTACGAGGCAGAAACTCGATTTGCGACGCGTCTTTTCCGACACGACCTCCGAACGCATTTGAAAAGTCGGTCTGCTTTCCGATGTGACTTGGAGTGCAGCTTATTTGATTCTCAAGTGGTTTTGTGTATTTTTACCCATTAAATCCTGTTAAATATGGCTGATAGGAAAATGATATCGGCAAGTGATGTTTCTACCGTTTCTACAGTCTACGGGAAAATTAGGTTCACTGTATGACAATCCGATTTACGACAGAGTTTCCAGGAATTTATTGTGACGTCGTAAAAGCGGGAAATGCCTGTCTTCTTCTTCCACACGTTTATCCCACTCACGTGGGGGGGGGTCCGCTGTCCTGCCTTCTCCACACTGCCCTGTCCTGCACCATCTCTCTTTCTGCTCCACAGGCCACCATGGTCCAATCGCACCACATCACTCCCCCCCCACCTCTTCTTTTGCCTTCCTCTTTATCTCTTTCCTTCCACTTGCATCACTTGCACCTTCTGACGCACATCATTTTCCTGCTGTCTCTCCACATGACCGAACCACACCAAAGCGGGGACTGCCTGCACATATAACAAATCAAGTCATCAGCCATGCTCTGTCCACTCCTGGTTGAAGGCCTCAGAATCAGAATGTTTATTTAAGCTAGAGCAATTCGATGAGCTATAAACCTCTTTTTCAGAGATGGGACCCCCCCCCCATGGTCCTGCGATGTAACAATTCACCAAGTACCTGCACACGAGCTTATTATTTCCCTCGAACTAGTGAGCATCCTCTTAGAATGCGTTCCCTCCTTTGGTTGCCACGAGGTCATTATTCTTGACCACCGGCATTCATCCCTGCTCGTGGCATGTCCTGCACAACCCAGTTACTTTTCTTAACAGACTCAAGTTTTCTATTATGCCACCTCGAATGGGTGGCCTCTACCACCTCTGCTCCTTCCATTTGACGGGACTCCATTCTTTTTACGTAACCAAACCAAAGACATCCGTGCTTTTTTGCATCATTTGCACTCACGTCTCCTGCTGGCCAAGCTCATTCCTTATGGTCTCATGCCGATACTCCCAAGCATCCTTCTCAACCAGTTCATCTCTGCTACCAGTAATCATCTATACAGAAGCCTACCTTCTTGTCTGGACAATGAGTTCACGTGGGTTATAAAGTTTATCCAGGACACTCGATTCATTCAAATCATACGGAGGGGGTGTGGAGGTAGAAAGATATAACCCTCCACCACCCCCACGGCACCCTTCTCCCCCAAGGAACGCTCACCGGAGCTCGGAGGTTGCGGCGAACGACTCGTGCTCGCAGATGGAGAAGACGCAGAGGAAGCCCTCGCCGCTGCGGAAGTAGTTGTCTCGGATGGCGGCGTAGTCCTCCTGCCCGGCCGTGTCCAGGATGTCGATCTGCACCTCCTCGCCGTCCAGCACCACCTTCTTGCGGTAGCTGTCGGCCTTGGTGGGCTCGTAGTCCTCCACAAACTGTTATGCAACGGGCTCTTTAGTGCAGTGTTCTTCACACATTTTCAGAGGGGGGGCACTTTCACCGATAGGACATCATCAGTGTGAGGGCCGTCACACCGTCTGCAAGGGGTGTTTTCACATGTTGTGTATTTTCCGGGGCCACACGTCAGGGGCCGCAATAAAGGCCACCAGGGGCCGCCGGTGGCCCGCGGGCCTTGCAATGAAGAAGACTGCATGAGTGTAACATAGCTATGACTCTGCACGCGATGGATCGATGAGTTAATCGTCACTCACATCAACGACCGTTGTCCAGCACGCGTTTTTGCAGGAGGTATAAATGGAATCCACTAGGCAATCCCCAAGTGCCGTCGAATGTCTTTCCAAACTCGACATGCAGTTATAAACGGGTCCGTTGCCGTATAAAAAAATGAGAGCACTGACAATGATCAAAAGTTACGCTCGTGATGCATCGAATCGTGCGCATGTGTATGCAAGCACTGATCAATTTCAATCGTGCTAATTGCGTGGGAATCTTTTTACTTGAGGCAAATGGTCAAAACAAGTGAGATGGGACAAATGAGACAGCACGATATGAGGGCATGTCCTGGAAAAAACTGATACCCACAAAATGGAAACGTCCTGAAAGCAGGCTTTTGTTTTACAGAAGGCAGATTGTGGATGAACATACATTATTAGGTTCATTGTGTGGCCATCTGTGAGGAGATGATAAAATAAAAACAAACATGGCTTATATTAAAACAATAAATTAACCTTATGGCGGGACCCCGGGGTCCCATAAGCCCCCCGGCTCTCCCATAAAATGCGTTGCGACGTCATTTTATGTCTGTTGAAGGCGAACGATACGGCACTCTATTCCTCTCGACGAGCTCTACACGATGCGCTCATCAAAGTTTTGTTTCTTCAGCGCATTCGTCCTCACTACTGCGCTTGGACATGACAACAGAATGATCCGCGCCAGGTGGGTCACGGCGTTTATGTGTGCGGTGAGATGGAGTCGCCAAAAAAAATAATTAATTACGATTTCTACTTCCGTTTATTCGGGACCCCGGGATCCCGCCATAACGTTCAAATGTGGGTTATACACATTTTCCAGGAGAGCCCTTAAATGAGACAGTGACGAGTGACTTACAGACAAGGCAGAACAAATGAAAAACGGTAAGTAAAAAAATCAAGACAGACGTTGAAAATGACAGAGTACAAACGAAAAAGCGCAAATAAGGCAGTAGAAACAGTACATGGGGTCAAGCAAGATGGTTCAAAATGAGCCAGGCATGACAGTTGCACTCCTGTACAAGTTAGCAACTGTGTGAAGCACAACATTAATATATACATGATCATGATAATGATTACAATAAGAACAAACATCAACATGGGGTATGATTTGGACTGACAGTATAAATAGCACAGCCGTGATAAATGAAGAGCATTAACATGCCAAAACCAATTGATTCTAGAACCACAATCCCAAAATATTATCCTCAATGATGACTACTGAATTACATGAGGGACCCAATCGTTATATGCCTAGTCACTAACTTAACACGTAACTGTTTTGCAACAGGGTTTATGAAGTATTTATTCTTTTGCACAAGTACAGCTCCCAAGGCCTTGTTTGCCTATGGGCAGTTTCATGATTTAACCTACATTTAAGACACTTTAAAGATGTGGGTAATCACTAGTATAATCACAAGGGGCGTTTTGCTTGTACACAGTATGTCAACCAATTAGGGCTGAAATGCAGATAAAAAATATATAGTACTTCTTTCTTTATAAGGGAGAAAGTCATAAAATACCAGACGTCAGATGTACTGATAAGAACTCACGTTTTCACCCATTTTGCAACGGTGGTGGTGCATTCAGCATTCAGTGTTAAACATTATGATGTCTTTGAAAATGTTACTGAGACACCGTGTATGATGTGGAGCCGCTCAATATGAAGCCACACTTAAGACCTGTTACACGCTCTTGGCCCTAAATATTTCTCGTTAGATTTTATCGTGGGCGTGCTTTCAAAAAAAATACACACACGCATCCTGTCTCATTGGGCTCTCACCTGATTATATTTTGACCAAACTGACTCACTCACGGGTACCCGGACAAACTTAGCACACAAAGCACAAGCTGCGTTGTGTTATATTATACCGACAAGGAGAACCATCCATTAATAAGGGAGCCCAGGCAAAGCGGAACAATCCTGACTCATTAAAATTTAATTGGCTCTGTTGTGCGTAGGTTGTCTGATGGAAACGGGAGCAAAAACCTGCACAGGAGGCACTTCTCTGAGCAAGTACATACTTCAACATTATAGTTTTGCGGTAATAGCTTTTGCAATTATTAAAGTTTAACTACTTTAGACAGCAGGAGAACGTATATGAGCCGGACAATATATATATTCTAGGAAGATCTGCCGAACGAAAGTTCAAATCTTCGTTTAGGTAGTGTGAGCAGACTGTCGTATTCCTGCACCGAAACTCATGAAAACGCTAACGTATCGTTCCCAAGGAAATTCTTATCGAGTCTCAAGACTCAGCTTCAGGTGGGTCCTGCACAGGGAAGTAAGCATTTGTTTGAGACCAGAGTTCCCCGAAGGAAACCCATGCACATACAAGGATCTCAGGACAAATGGATTCAAGGTTACCGCTGAATCTTCAGCAGAGCTGTTAACCACTGCCTCGCGAATGGTGTACACACGTGGCTGCAGGTGGCGTAGAAACTATGAGACCTGTGGTGCATGCGTGCATGCATGCGAGAGAGTGGGCGAACAGGGGACCTCACCTCATCGTACATAAACTGCAGGGTGAGCGCCGACTTGCCCACTCCGCCGCTGCCCACCATGATGACCTTGTGGAGCGCCAGCGAGTTCTGGCCCTTGCCCTTGTTTCCCGACATGGCTGTGGTCCTCTGAAGCGAAAGGCAATAGCGTTTAGTGTCCCAGTGCGTGCTCCTATGGTAACATCAATTGTGGAACCGCTGGGTCATTGGTGTAAATTACCCGGCGTGCGCTTCATTTAGTCAGATTTCCAAAGCTAAATCATGATTGCGCCTTGATAGTGCTTGGATAATAATTGACATTTATAAGACACAATTCATCCAGGGTGACCACCATGCACAAACAGGTTGTTGTAGGCTGCAGACCTTTGCCATTCCACTGTTGGTTGATAGCCTTTCTACACTATGCAGTTCATGGGGGTTATTTGACCATACTTCACAAAGCTGTTCAGTGAGGGCTGAAGGCATAGAACAGACGTGGGATCATAGATGTATATTGCAACAAGGGAGTTTTCTACACTTCCCTATGCTACTTGCCACAAAGTTTCAGCCTATAACACCTATTATGCATGGTGTGTATCCATCCAAGCACTATCCAGGGTCAACCCCTGCTTAACTTCTGATATCCGTCGATCATAGGCTATATGTATACATGCACATAAAAGCACTTAATGTACCGTATAATATGCACAAAGCTCAACCGAGAAATACAAAAATGCGACCACTGCCATTTCACTGCTCCAAAGAATTTGAATGTTTCTATTTTTTGGTAACCAACGCGTGCCCTGACGTCTACAAGGAAGCTTCAATTCATGTTAATTTAGTCTTTATTTACTGCCCTCAAGCATGCTACTCAAGACGGATGATCCAGCCCACACAAACGCAAAAAGGGCGACCGAGGCGGCCCTGCCCTGCCAATTAATGTGACACATTTTTCACATTTGGCAAAGCATGGCTCATTTGCTCGGAATTTCCTCCTCAGCTGCGTGTTCATTATTTTTAGTTTTTTTTTGTAAAACAAGCCAATGCCAACAAAAGGCATTTCCTTCTGCAGCGAGTCTTCTGTTTGTGCCTTTAATGTTTTATTATTAATGCGGTGTTTTTATGAATGCCCTCTTTGTGCAGTGCTTTAGCTTGGCCAGGCAGGGCCTTGAGCGGCTCGTTTAAATTCGCAACGACTGGGCCTTGAAGGGGGTTTTGCTGGAACACTGCCACGCATGTCAATGCAGGCCCTTCATGCAAAACATTTAAAAAGGGCACTTGCTCTTAAAGCGCTACTTAGCCTTTTGACTTTAACACAGCGGGCAAAGACAGAGCGGTGACATGAACATGCATTGTTCATGCTTACGGATGTGGTGCTTTACAGCAGAATTGCCAGAGGAAAATTAGATTTGTAATATGTACTTAAATATACATAAGGCAATATATAAGGTAATTTAAATCGGCTCTCTGTAGGGAATGAATTAGGGCTAGAATATAGTAAACTCACCCACTCGCGTTCTCGAAATTCAACATTATCTACTCGGTGATAGGATGTGTACAGTAAGTCAAATATGGGATCAAATTCCAAAGACTGGGTATGCAGAGATACTGGTATTGCTGCAGGACATCAAGCACCTTCCTGTGCGCATTAACACAATCAGGGGGCTCTTCACATGTTTAATTTACATACTGAAAAAAATCAGACAGATGGGTGTCGTAGTCACAAGTGCACTGTACTGTGAAATTCCTGGCCATCAGTGGCGAGTGATATCTTAAGTGGTGCTGGAACCTCCCCTTCACCAACCCAAACTGATTCGTTTGATGATGGACTGACATGGCATGAGGAAGCCCTCATCCAGCAGTGGACTGACAAAGGGCAACACATTACGACATAATACTACAACTCTCGTAGTAACAATAATAATAACAGCAGCAGAAGGAGGGTTTGGTGAAGTTGTGGCTTCAGAATAACCCCCGTGGCTCTGGGTTTCAATCTGACCACAGACCTCTGATAATGCATTACAGAGATATTATCGCACAAGCCCACAAACTACGAAATTGTCTGGACGAAAAAGATTACAGGAGAGAAAACTGTTTTCATTTTAGTTTTCAATATATTGTTACAATTAGGTCACTGCTCAAACATAAATGTAAACAAATATATTTTCTTGTTTTTCACTTGTAGAATACTGTCAGTTACAAGACATTCATCAAGGTTAAAATTCTTCTATACAACCGGCGAATACTGCTGTCATAGTATCATATTCTTGGTTCTTTCGGTAAAGTCACGTTGAAGGGAAAAACAATAAAATAATAAAATATATAAAACAATAAAATTCTCACGTTTCGACTGCAACACAAGCAATCATCATCAGGTGTGAAAACCAACGGCAAGAACATTTGAAATGTTGCCGTTGGTTTTCACACCTGATGATGATTGCTTGTGTTGCAGTCGAAACGTCGTGAGAATTTTATTGTTTTATATATATTTTATTATTTTTCCCTTCAACGTGACTTTACCGAAAGAACCAAGAATATGAATCACTGCAGTCACGAAAGCTTTAAATCAAAATTTGTCTTGGTGTCATTGGAGTCACTGTGGATAATAAGAAAAATGGAAAAACTGACAAAATATCTCCATAGATCTGTCCCTCCGCAAAACAAACTTTACCATTTCCTGCCAACCACAATGCCTTCTAGACATGTGTGTATATATATAATTCAGCAGCATTGCTTCCACAAATTATGCATTTACTGTACAGGTTTCGTCGTTGACAGGAAGCATAAAAAAATACTTATTTATGCGAAGGGACAGATATTAATCAGATATTTTGTCTGCTTAATTCGTTACTGTCGTAGCAGATGTAGGCTTCCCCCAAGCAGTGCAAAATCACTGGGGTTAGTTGACCACACTTCACGATGTTCAGTGCAAGTTGTTGGCGAGCAGCCAAGACTGTGGGTGGCACATAAGTACAATACAACAATACCCTCCGATGCAGACTACGTAGCCACGCAGCAGCCTGGGACAGCATCTTAAGGCGCAAGACGATGACCCTCCCAAAGCGCTATCCAGGCTCAAGCCTCATTAGCTTCTGATGTCTGATGCGATGGGGCACATTCCGGCTGATTTGGTCATAGGCGACACGGTATGCACCGTGGGTACACATACTTCTGCTATGAAGAAATCTCGAGATGTTATACAATTCAGACGCTGCATTAATAACATTTAAAATTGTGAGAATATGCCAAGGTACATTGCGTGCCTGTTTCGGGTGAAAAACAACAATCCAAGGTGATTCTCAGCTCAAAGCATGCTGGAGGCGCTCAAGAGTCCCGAGTCAGTGGTGTAAATTCCACGTTTCTATGGTAAGAGAGACGTATTCCACACGGGCAATCACTGTTGATTTACCACTGGCTGTTAAAGCATAGCTGAGTGTTGTTTCGTATATCATCTGCTGTTTACACTACTACAGGGTGGTTAAATACCCGGCTCGTGTTTAACGCAAATCAGGGAGGCAGCAAAGGCCAATGCATTTTTCTCAACCGCAGGGCCACATGATTAACATATGACATATGATTAACATACACAGCACTGTCATGTATAATACAGGTTTATGCACAGACAGGAGGTTATCCAGGTGGTGGACAGCAGAGGGCAGTACGGGAACATCAGCTGTTGTACTGTATTTATACGCTCCCACCTATCTGTTCGCCGTCTTCACCAACCCGCAATGGTAAAGTATGGTTAAATAACCCCCACGACCCACAACGGCCTAGAGGCTCTCGTCCAGCAGTGGATTGACAAACGAAACGCAAGTGCTTAGTAGCAATACATTCATAGTAGAAACACAGTCTTCGCCTGTACACACAGTGCGGCAATCGTAACAACGTTATGACCGCATAGCAAGTAACGCGTGCCCCTGCCATTGTAGACATGAGTACAGCCCCGTTAATTAATCCACTGTTCAAGGCCTCTCCCCCCACAACGCCGTGTCGCTCACGGGAGTCGTCAAGACCGCGTTCACCAACACAATGATGTGTAAATATAATAGCACAGCAACGTATTGTTATGCCCCCCCCCCCGCCGCCACCGCCGCCGTCCTCCCCCGGTCATAGCACCGTGGAATTCCCACCACCGGCATCAGCGGCCCCGCTAATTGAGGGCCGATCGGCTCGTCCAACGACGTGAGCGGGCGCACGAGAGACACCGCGACACCAAATCGACGGCGAGACGTAGCGCGCGTGCGATGGCACCCGCCTGGTAACAATGGCACGGAAACCGTGATGTTTTAAGAGGCCGCAGCCGCTGTCGCCGCCGCCGCCTTGTGTGTGTGTTGTGAGTGTGCTCGTCGCGAGAGGGTATAAAGAGAGACGTTTTACTCGATTTCCTTCTCTTCTCTTGCTCTTTCCCTCCCCCCCCCCTTGGCGCTCTTCCCTTTATGTTTTTGGCGCTCGTCGCCTCGGCCGCGTCTCCCCGACGAGGCTCGCTCCTTCGGGTCTCTTATTCTCGTCAGATTCTCAACGTAATTGATCTCCCTCCGCTGCGTCCGCTCCGTGTGCGACCGACAAGGAGCTGGGGGGGGGGGAGAAGAGCAGCTGCTGCTGTGCTCGGGGGGTGGCGACCGGGAGGCGAGATGCGTTTCGCCGATAGAAACCGCCCCGAGGGCACAAATTGCGCGTTTCTTTTCCGCCCTCCACTTTTCCCGATCGCTCTGACCGCCGCAAATGCCTAAGGGGTGGGGGGGGGGTGCGGGTTTGTCATGCGCTAAGAATGCGCCCTGAGGGCGTCGTTCGCGTTCGAAACTTAGCCGGGGCTGAACCGGAATCGGGGTGTGTGTGTTGGGGGGGGGGGGTCGGGAGAGGATGGTGACACGCCCACCGGGGGAGGAGCCTCGTCCTACCCGTGACGTCACAAAAGCGCGACCGCGTGGATTACCGGCGGCCATCTTACGCAGGGACGGCCTGGACCCGAGAGGCCCCCCCCCATTGTAACCGCCGTGGGTTTTACGCCCCAGCGCACCGGTGTGTGCTGAGGTAGTAACTCACTAATGGGCACGTTTTGTTGACGTGACAAACCTTACTGATTGGCTGTGTCGGGTGGTGCTGAGTTAACGACACATTTACAAGATGTAACCCCACCCCCCCCCCACAAAAAAAATGTATTATAGTAGATACTTTCGTTCTGTTATGATGCTTTTTTTCTCGTTTAACCACCGATGTGATTCCTGTTGGCACGAACCCAAGCTAAGTTGGTCCTCCTAGTGGGGGGGTCCCCACGGGTGTGGTGGTTTCCAGAGGTCGGTGACCATTCGGGTAACGACTGCGCTGATGAGCCCCCCCGAGTACGAAACCCATCCACAAGCTTTCACCCACTGCAACCACCGCTGCTGCTATCGATGAACACATTTTTCTCGCATTCCTTGTGATCAGTAATGAACGGTGGGGGGGGGGGGCGTTGCAAGCACCACACCACCCGTCCCCGTGCGCTCTTGACACGTGTCTGCCTGTGCGCCGTTTAAAACGTATCTTTTATTTCTGCCCCTCCTCCATCCACAACGACAGCCTGCACTAAGTAGCATTCTGTAACGCACTCAGTCCCCGTCATTTACACAGAGTCCTTTGATGCCGGCCTGAGCAAAAACAAAATAAGAGAAACAACAACACCCTCCCCCCCCTTCCCCTCATGAACGAGCCTCGGTTCTCCCCACGTAAGATGGCCGCCGCCGCCGCCGCCACCGCCGTCGCCTGCGGCCGCCGCTACCGAGCGGAGGGGGTCGCGCGGCACGGCGCGGCTGCGGCATGGCGGCCTCGCTCGAGGTGTGCGCGGTCCTCGGCTCCCTGGGAGGAGGAGGCGGCGGCGGCGGGGTTCGCGGCGCCTCTGACGGCGGCGGCGGAGGAACAGGGAGCGACCCGGGTTGTGCGGCGGGCGAAGGTGCGGGCAGAAGGGGGCGGGGTGGGTGGTGGGGAGAGGCTTGCGGCCCGCTCGGGGTTCCATGTCTTGTGTACGGTGTCTCCTTGTTGTCCGCCACCACCACCACCCGCGTCGTCTCCCGCTGTAGCGATGTTCTTTCTCCCCTGTCTCCGTTTCATTGGCTATCCGTCTCGTTTTGAGTCTCTCCTAGTACGGCGCGTCCGCTCCGCCCCCGTAGTCTCTCCCCTCTCTCATCGTCTCCCCGTGTTTATTGCCAGTCGTGTTCTCCTCCCGTTCCTGATCTCCATGCCTTCCTGTATCCCAGCGTCCCTCCCTTTATCCGTATCCCAACGTTCCCTGCCTTATCTCTCTTCCGCCTTGTCTGGTCCTTGTCTCGATATGCCCCCCCCCCTCCCGTGGCTCTTGTCTCCTTTGCACCGATATCTTTCTCTCCGTCTCTTCGTGGTCATGTCACAAATGTCAATCTAACCTCTCAGTCTTATCACGTTTTCCGTCTCCGCCTGTTACGTTCCCCTCTCTCCACGTATCACCGTATCCAATGTTTGCCGTCTCGGTTGTCTCTTATCCACGGCCACCGGCCTTGCCTGCCCGTGTCTTCTCTAATCTCGTTTGTTTTCCACCGTTCTCAACATGCCTCTTTGTATACAGCACACGAATGTATACTTTCTCATCATCACCTTTGTACTGTATTCCCATTCAATGAGTGTACTCAGTAACAGGCTACGTAGTGCTTATAGTGAACGGCGGCCACTCAGAAGGTCGTGAGTTCATAATTCGCTGAAATCAATACCACTTTGTGGATTATCAACGTTAGTTTCCATTTGTACTATTAACACTCCTGCTGTAAGAGTGGAGTTTAACTGGCTGACTGGAAAAAAGGACATTAGATTCTCACCGCGCTTATTGGAACTGGAAATCATTGACGCTTTTGACATGACAATTATGCTAATGTGTACATTTTACAGGTCTGTCGATAACTGCCTTGATTAATTTGTCAAAAGCAGCCTTTGTGAGAACCCAACACTTGGCTTATTCTGAGAGTTATTGGCACTCGGGCAACTCATTACACTTCAGTGACTCAGGCAGTATCCTTTATTTAACCGGATGACGAAATAGACGAATTGAGTCACAGGAAACAACTTGGCTTCTTTTTAAAAAGGACGGCCTGAGTTACATGGAATCATTCTCAATACCCCGAAGATTAAACAAAATGTTTAATGGGACAAATATGGCCAAATGTTAATAATACATCAATTATTTGTTTGTAATTATTGATAACAATCAAACAATGCCACCCAAAGTGTAGAAATGCCGTGTGTTTATTATAAAAGCCCGGCGTTCGGTTTGTCCCACAGCTAAATCATGAAAGCCTTTCAGAAAATCTGAATCACAAATGTGTAGAAAGTGGACCACCCCTCCCCCCCTAAAAAAACCCCCCAATTATTTTGTAGGCATATATGCCTACACATCCTACATACAATAGATTCAGTCGTATCTGTACACATGGGGCGGCGGGGGGGAGAAGACATCAGTGGCGGCGACGGGCGAGACACGAAGCACTCAAAGCCCTCCGCAGGAGCTATTATAAGGTGGCCATGGGCCGCCTTATTATTAAATTATGTCTCATTCTGGAATATCACTGCACTAGACGAGTTGAGTAATGTATTCGGCTCTCATGCCATCCATGAAGCACACTGGTTTTCTGTGAAAAAACAGTCCTGAAAAAAATACAAGTCCCCTTGAAATTCATCATATACATATCTGGGGGGTGTCGCACTCACTTCCTACCTCGCTGTAATTGATTTAATTCAATGGAAAGCTTTCAGGATTTTTGATGATCCAATACTGGCCGATTCACTACCGTCACTCACTGCCAGTCAGTTACAACATAATCACTCTGTTATCACTGCTACCGTGGTTGCTGTTCCCTTGAACTTCACTCAGATTCCTACAGCCACGTTGACTAACTCGGTCTTACTGTTTCATCTTATCCACACTGCATTTCAATAACACTCCTCTTTCTGCATCCTTTCCTTGCACTTTACAACGTTCGAATTGCCTTCTATTGTCTCTCTTCCCAAGTTCTTATGCTACCTTGCTCAATTCAAGAAACATTATCTCATCCGTTTCACCGTCCAGAGTGCTGTTTTTGGTTGCTCTACGTTTTGAGCCTTTACTCCGCAACGACATATCTATGCGCTGAGTGTGGTTGAATCCATCCCACGAGTTCAGCAATCATTGCCTCTTCTGCTCCCATATTCTAAACTGTGACTATTCCTTCAACCATCTGTGCTGTCTACTCGCTAATTCTGCCACAATAAATATGCACAGTGGTTTTTTTTACACCATTTTGGCATATGGTCACACGCAGATGCTATAAACTCAGCATTGTACTGTGAATGTGAAGCGACGTTATGTTTATCGCAGCCACATTTCGGTTGAAGCTTTGGCAAAGACCTCTTACGTCTGTCACCGGTTTTTTTTTTCCAGAAGAGATGAAGGCGACGCAGCTCAACGCACTGATGGAGCGTCTGAGAGCCAAGCACGCCCAGCCGAGGCCCTGGGGAGACACCATCAAGATGGTGCGCCAGGCGATGGTGCGGTCACACGCCCTGACTCATCATTCAGGCTGTGTTATTCTTTTTCTTAAAATGTCTTGATCTTTTTTCTCCCATGATATTACAATTGTCTTTTCATTGGCATGCTGTTGTGAGATGAAGGAATTTCAATTTGAATCTCACTTCACCACCTTGTGTCAGAGAATAGCCTTGGGACATTGTGTCACATAACTAAACCCAGGTTATTTTTGGGTGTGTGGAAACCCAGATTCGAACCCAGGATATCAGTGACCCCTGATGCACCTTGCAACCTCAATTAAGACACTAACAAATATTCTCACCAGCGATCCTGGGTGCACTCATGGCTGTAATAATCTTGCTAGGCTGGCTGCAAATGAGTATATGAATAAGTAATACGCTTTGAGCAGTGGCGCGTAACATCCTGTTGTCGTGCTTGCACGCATGTATCCAATGTGCTCTGTGCAGGAGCGCCGACCGGGCAATGACAGTCAGCAGCGTGTACTCCGTTGCCTGCAGACTGTACAAAAGGCACTCAAAGGTAAAAGTGGCTGTCTGTCCCACACCACTAAATTGCACTGTACCATGGAAATATAACTCACATGGTTCTCATTAATTCTCTGTTCATGCCCTAAACACCTGGAATTCCATCACTTCAAAAATGTCCTTCTTTGAATCACAAGTTTATTCTAAGCTGTCAATTCTTTATAACTTCACTTTAAAGTGCATTTGACATCTATACTTATTTGTTGGCAAATACTTCTGAAACTTTTTTTATTTAACTGATCGGCGTACATTCCAGGGAATGTATTATGTAACGTTGATTCATGTTCGTGCAATTTTTTATATGTCTTAATTAATATAGTTGTTTTTACTCCGATTATTATTGCTTCATTGCTGTACTTGATTTGTATTTGTTTGGCTTTTGTCACTCTTTGTGACCCAGGTCACCGTTGCAAATGAGGCAATCCTTATCTCTTGAGTTCCTACCTGTTTAAACAAATGTAATTGAAACCTGTCAGCATCACTGTCACACAAACTTGCAGGTTGATACCTCAGCAGAGTGAGTGTTTTGCTCGTGAGACAAGGGTTCGAATTTACTTCAAATGAGGTCCACACCTCCGATTAGCACGGTTGGCTACGTACGGTGGGAAGGAGGTTCAACATACATACAAAAGTTCTAAACGTCCCGCAACAATATTTTTACAGCACTTGCAATCTTCTTAGCTGCACTAAGGTACGAGTAGGGAATATTTGACAACAACACGTGTTTCTAATTTTATCACGCTCAGGCACTTCTGTCACTGCAAGGACCTGTTTATCGTTGGTCCACATGCACGTTATTTTTAGTGTTATTATTGGATGACGCTGCAGCACATGTTCATGTGTGGTCCACCACCGGTACTTCAGAGGCCTTTACAGTCCTCCGGAAAAGTGTTCCTCAATCCTACTGTAAACAAAGCAAGAAGTCAGGAGCTGGAATCCATTCATCTTTGTTCAGATATGAAATATCCTCATCATATTGATCGTAATATAGAGTGCTTTAAATAAATTAAGCATGCAATAATGCGTAGATTATTTAATCAGAACTGACACTTCTGCTCATGATACACCAGTGGAATCATGCATATGAGAATAGATTTTCTACAATGTGTTCGGAGGACGGTTGCACCGCACCTCCTGTTATCACGGTTTGCTATGTATGGTGCAAAAGGAGCTCTAGAAACATACATACATGTGACGGGTTGTGGAGACCGTCATCCAGTGGAAGATTAATCATGGCTGACGATTCAAAATGAAAACGATTTGGTGCTGAAACTAAACTGACATTTGTGTTATCCAGTTACATCACACTCTGCCATGGTGAGCAGACTAGAGGTCATCGCCCGTGAGCACAGGTAACATTCCTCACCTTTACACAACAACAGCCCTCACCCTTGTCAGTCGTACTTTGTTGTTTGCTTTGTTCGGTCTGCTCTCGAGTGAATATCGCTTAAGACCCAGGGATGCAGTTCATAACGAGTGTAACTTACATGGTTGCAAAACATATACCTGTCAAAATTGCCTGTTCTACAGACACTTTTTCTAGGCATGTAACGATTCACTTGGTGGTAAAGAATAGCCAGTATTTTAATGACATCATGATTTGGGGTCACGATTGAATGCGATAATAAAGTTGTCTAGACTGTATAATTTCTACCTAACATCTCATTTGTTCTACCTTCACTGAATTAATTACCCTAAAATAATAATGCTCATAGCTTTTCCTTCATTAAAAATAATTAATTTTTACATAGACAAAACAGTTAACTTGTCCGGAGTGCAATGATCCATTTGAACCGTCGAGGAATGGACTTTACTGCCCGGCATCTTCTGACCTGGCCTGCGTGCTGGTTTCACCTGTTTGTCACTTGTGCGATCGGCCTCCATTTGACCCTCCCCGCCAGGCTGAGCTGGCACTGCAACCCGTCGAACTACGAGTGCTACGTGTCGTCTGACATGTTCTATATGGTGATACACGCGGACGGCGCCGGCGCCGTGGCCGATGTCAAGGTGGCTCACCACGGAGAGAACCCAGTGGTGAGCGGCCCCGATCCACGCGCACTTCTCTCTGCTTTAGCAGAAGCCGGGGCCAGACCCCAGCGCAGTCAAGCAAAACGGCTGCATTCACACTGAATTGGAGTCCGCGCTCGCGTGGAATTTTTTCTCTCCAGGTCCTCCACGTTTAGAAACACGCATTGAGATTATTTAGATTATTTTGTTGCTATAAATTTCCTCATGATAAGCCACTTCGTTGAGCTATCATTTGTGGCCAAGTCGCTTCAGAAAAATAAGTTAATACCGAAGTGGGCTTTACGTGGTAAGATAAAAAAAAAATAGTTTAGTTTAATTCGTATATACGTTTACCTTTCCTATACTTTGCACTCATGTTCTTGTATAATTTGTTGTTGTAATGTTCTTACCCGCCCCTACTGGACATCTGTGAAAAAGAGCTTTATAGGTCATCGAATTCCTCCAGTATGAATATAATTCTGATTTTGAATTCTGCATTCCGAGGGTACATTGTTGCTGGCGGCCTCGCGTGCCATCATCCGTGTCCAGTTTTCTCCTTGTAGGGCCGGTTTTTCTTTTGCGAGGATCCTTGGTTGAGGTGCCGGTAGCCACCCGGTGTAAACACTTGTTGTGTTTACCTTTCCTATACTTTGCACTCCAATCATGTTTCTGTATTGTTTGTTGTTGTAATATTCCTACCCGCCCCGACTGGACATCTGTGAAAAAGAGCTTTATAGCTCATCGGATTCCTCCATTATTAATAAATACTGATTCTGATTCTGATTACGTAAGCGTGTAACATCATTACAACTTAAGCCTCGCTTAAGCGATGCCGCAGAGTTGTGAAGTTAACGTCGCCTCCGTCTTCACGAGGTTTGAACTTTGGAACGTGTAAGTAAATCTTAAGTGACCTGGTGGGCAGTCGTGATTAAGGTGCAGCAAAGAGCAATATTGGTATTTGGATATCAAAGCTCGTTTTGAATGTGCTATACCTTCCTATGAGAGGAGACAGTGCCCTCAATAGGGGCTCTCTAGAGCTCCCTCAGGGAAGCCCTCCTGCCAGCAGAAGCATAAGTGAAATTGCAGCACTGCTTCTTAACCTTTACATATTCCGATATGTAGTTGTCACCAGTTATATGCAGATTGTCAACAGTCAGTTTCTCTTTGACATGAGCAAGCCACTCTGCCACATAAAAAAAAAGATCTAAAACTAACTTCTGTTTTTGTTTCCGCTTGATTGCTGCCCTGACGCTGGGGACTCCTCTACAACCCTCTGTATATACCCAGAGCTGCCCGGGCCTTACTAAAATCCTACGGTGAGCATTTGCATGTTCATTTCCTGGAGACCGTTGCAAATATATGGGTGTCGTGTTAAATGGAAAGAGTAAAGAGGAAGTTCTAAAGCGGGTTCAAAAGGACAGACGTCTAACTGGAATAATTCAGACAAAGCAAGAGATCTGGAATGGTGATATTGTTACAGGGGAAGGCTTTCTGAAGGATTTCTAGCTGGAAGTTAAATTGTAACAATTCCGGAGAAGGCTTGCTGAAAAGGTCCTATGAGGATAATGCAGATGATTCAAGAAAGGTAGAAGTTTAATAGCAGGTGAGAAGTCCCAGTGGAACAATTCGGAGATGATAAGATCTGAAGTGGGCATATTGTTAGAGAGGAGAGCTTGCTGAAGGAATCTTTAGGATGAAAGATGCTGGGCAAAAGGCTAAGAGGTAGACAAGGAAAGACGCTGCTTGAAAGCACAAGGTAGGACAGGATTGAGGGAACTTGAACCAAGAACCAGCCCTTATGCAGAGAACTTAAGAAGAGATGCATATATATAAGTATAAAATGTGCAAATACTAATCTGCATAACTCTGCACAATGCAAATATTGGGAGCGTTTTCACAGATTCAACTGTAGCTGTTTGCCAATGTGATGGACTGTTGGAATGGACCTAGTTATCAGGACAAGCTTTAAGAATTACGTGTAGATGCACACCTATTTTCCTTTTCAATGCAAGTCGGTCCTGAACGCAAGTGCACAGCGATAACACTGTGTAACACATTTTTTATTCTTTTTGTTCCTGAGTAGTAAGTGTTATTTCCTAATTGCCTATGCCTCAAAAGTACAGAAAATGGTTATTATTCCCCACAAACTTTGCTTTTGTGCCCAGGACAGTGATATTTAGAAATTTACCTATTTTCAATGAGAAGACGGGCAAATTTGTGTGTTTTCGTCATTCACATAAAGTCAGAAAAAACAACATGAATATAAATTAACATGTATTCATACTAAAGTAATACAAAAATGACTACAAAGATTTAGACACCAAGGCACACCACCACAGGCCGGACTGGCCACAGCGGACCGAGTTCTCTGTGGGGAGCAAAAATCTCGAAAAACTACTCTCTTACAGCGAAGGAAACTTTGAAGAGTTTTCCCAACACCTGGATGCCTTGGCCAACCTCTACAATTTACCAGGTGACAGGTAAGTTTGCACACCACATACACACACATTATTTAATCCTATTTGAAAACAGAAACTTAATTATTGAGAAGAACCTTACCGAATATGAACTTTTCTCGTTTCGGGGTGCATCCTGTATTGGGATGTTTGGCCAATTTAATGCCTGAATGTTTTGTGTACACTTCGGTGAAATAGCATTTGTCCATATTTTGTATGAAAATGAAACACAAGCAGTCTGGTATGTGACGATTGCCAGGTCTATTATTATTTACTGGACAGCCTCTGTGCGTGTGACCGTGTGTCCTTTGTTGCAGCGATCTCAAAAACAAAATGTACCTCGCTCTGCAGTCCCTGGAGCTCGACCTGTTCAAGATGGCACAGTGGTACAAGTGGGTCTCTTCTCGACATCCACCCCAGTTTCATGCCATGCAGTGCGAATGTGTGATTTTATGATGTTGTGATTTTACGACAATGTGTTTGCTGCTGAAAGGCTGATCTATAATTCTTGCCGTCTAATACACTTTGTGTGCATGCGTACACGTGTTTATGCGATGCGAAAACATCAGCACGGGGAAGACAAAGGCGGCCGGGCGTGGTGTTGGCCATCCACTCCCACATTTACCTTGCCGGCGTCATAAGTCCGCTCACAGCTCTTGCCACAACGGCCTGTCAAATGCTCTAATGGGGGTCTAGGTCTTTGTGGTAGGTGTACGAATATCAGCACTGGGGAAACAAAGGCAGCAGGACGTGGTGCAGACCACACCGCCCCCCTCCTTTTCTGCACAGCACTTAGAGGGGGTGGTATTGTCAGTACCACAAAACAGTTTGTTAAAGGTTAATGGGGGGGTGGGGTCTCTGTGGTATGCATGCTACAATGTGTCACTTAAAATCGATGTGTATGCTCATTATATACACATTTAATTGTATATATGAGAATTAATGATTCACGATGTATGCAAATTATATACATTTTAAATGCTAACGTTACATTTACCTTAATGGGCATATATAAATGTACAAGCAATACAGAACTAAAATTCATCAGTATAGGCCTGTGGACAAAAACAAGACAGAAAGGAATTAATTATTGAATAAAATTACGATCCCGAAACACTAAGAAGCCTTCGAATTGTTACATGCCTATACAATGCTGGCGAATACGCATCCAAACGATTCCATGGGTGAATCATGTTCGATTCCAAATATATTGCACTGGTGCAGTGTTTATTTCTAGTCCTGTGTTTGCTCACGGAAGGCTGTTATCTCCTGCGATTGTCTGATTGTGTATGTTGGTATGCGGTCTGTGATGCTCTTGTGCATGTGGTGTGATGAATCATGTCTGCATTTCACGCCAGTGATCATATCTTTGTGTGTTTTTGTGAATCTTTTTATGTGTATTGACCGCATCTGTTAGCATCTCTTTTATGCATGTTTCATGCCTTGCATCGATATATGTTAACTTGTGATTATTTATTCCCGACAAGTAACGATGTATTTTTTCTCTATTAAAAAATCGAGGATTTTTTGGTACTTTTCTAATGTATTATAATTTATTATATCTCGTTAAATCAGTAAATTTACCCCATTAGTTTTAATGTAACGTTTGCATATCACTCCTATATAATTTGTATAAATTGTAAGTACTACAATCGATTCTTACGTTGATAAAATTATATACTCTCGCCCTAATACTTTAAATTGTTAAGTGCCTAACAATTTGTCTACTTGCGTACTGAGAATTCCCGAACACCAAATGACATCCTTTGAAACGACAATCGATGAATTTTCGAAATTAATTGCGCCAAGTCTTTGCTTTGCGCTCATACGAAGACGCGCTCTTGGCCGGAGCTGGAATAAAAATTTGCCGAGCTGCTCAGTGTGGTTGACACACGCAAGGGGTGGGCGGTTGTGCTGTGCCACTGAGCCTAGACGTGTATCTGTGTGTGCGTGCACACGCGTCACGCTTTTGCTGCTCTTGTTGCTGCAGACTGGCGACGAACGCCGAAACAGTCGAGGCAATCCTGCATGGCAACGTTGGATTTGTCTCTCCCAGGAGCGGCGGTGAGTGTGCCCCGCTTGGCCTTGACACCATCTCACGCTCATCCACGCCTGCCCACCTCGAAACATTTCAAGTTGCACACGTTTTTTTTCGCCCCATGCTGTGTTTTTCTTAAAGGCTCTTTATATTAACTCTTAGACCATCCGGTGAAACGGTGGCTCGATGATTAGCGCATTACATTATGAACCCGTCGAAAGCTGAGGTCGATTCCTGGCCACGGCTAACACGAGTGGCGTGTGATACCTAAACTGGTCCTGGGCACTCCCTTCACCAGTGTGGTGAAACATGGTAAAAATAACCTTCCGTGAGTCCCATTGCATAGAGAGACAATGGGACTCACGGGGGTACACTGTGAGAAAAAATCGGCTTCTTCTCGAGCTCTTTATTCCAAGTTTTGCCCAGCCTATGTTCTCTGTTGTGTTTGATCGCCGGCCAATGCTGTTGCAGAGAACCTGATGACCCTCAAGTATTACGTGTCTCCCTACGACCTCCTGGATGAGAAGACGGGTGGAATGCTTACCCTCACAGATGACAATGGTCAGTACAATGTGGTTAGGATTCACAAGGCCTCTGTATGCTGTGCAAATAGGTGGGACGTGCACCTAGGGGACTGTTTAATAGCGGTACAGTTCATGTGTGTGTTTACTCATGTATCAGTGTTTGTGCTTGCATATTTGTATTTCTGTTTGGGGATACTTGTGTTTGCTTTCTTGTGTATTTGTCTTTGGGTACGTAAGCGTACGTTTCTATGTTTTTGTGTCCATTTGTATTTCAATATGTACGTGCCCCATATGTGTGCTTTCGTACGTATGTACTCGTGTTTGGATAAACACGTGCCTGAGTTTGAGTACATGTGTGTGCTTCTGCTTGTATATCCACATGTTTGTGTTTGCATGTATGTTTCCCAGTGTCTGGGTACTTTATTTTCGTTTTTTGTTTTTGCGTACGAGTACGCATTTGTCCATGCCTTTGTTTGCGTCCACCTGCGCATTTCTCTGTGCATGCATCCTCAACCTCCTCCCTCCTCCCATGCTGTAGTTCCCCGCTCGCTGGGGTTGGGCGTGACGGTGGCCGTGGAGGGAGTGAGCGGGACGCACCGGCTGCCCATCGCACCGCTCATCGTCGGCACCAGGGCCACAGACGACAAAGGGTGAGCACGTGGCACCACGCACCTCCCATCTACCCGACATTGCACCTGGGTTTCCGGCAGGAGGAGCAGCAGTAGTATTCATAATAAAGGTTTTTTTGGGTTAGATCGCGTTTATTTATAAATGTGTCGTAACCCTCCACCACCCGACACGGCCAATCAGCAAAAAAAGTGTCACGTTGACAAAAGACAAATAATTCACTACTTCAGCCCACCGGTGTGTTGAAGAGTTAATCCACATTTACAGTTTGAGTACGACGTTTCGCTGGTAAATACTTCCAGCATCATCGGGCAATTCGCCAGAATGGTAAAGCCCTCGCTTGCTCCCGGTTTTATATAGAGCAGCAGGGTGACGTCATCACTTAACTCATCAGGTGCAGTGATTAGAGGCGGAGGGGGGGGTAATGTAATTATATAATCGATTAGTAATCAGTCATTGGTTATGATTAGTAATGAGTTGTAGATTAGTAATTCTTTAAATCAAAATGTAATGTGTATTATTTAATAATACGCTTCCAGGCCGCACTAAGCCGGTAGCTGTCAGAGCGATTAAAGTTATTCTTGTTCCTCTCAATTTCAATGGATTCTCTAATTAGTCTTTGCCAGTAATAATTAGTTTTACACACCACTGCAACATTGTCAAAATCAATTGAGTGTCCTTGTTGACAAGCATGTTCCGCCACTGCCGACAGTTGTGTTTGAGATAATTTAATATTTCTCTGATGTTCTTTTAGTCTTACGCTGATGTTACGTCCCGTCTGCCCAATGTAGCAGCTGCCACATGAACAATTAATCCGATATACACCTTCTGTTGATAGTTTAGGTAATGCGTCTTTAGTGCTGATTGGCCGTGTCGGGTGGTGGAGGGTTATGACACATTTATAAATAAACGCGATCTAACCCAAAAAACCTTTATTATGAATAATATTGGTCGCGAAAGCCTACGTGTTAAACCAGCAGTAGTATGTTTGAGAAATACATTATTATACAAGTGCGTTGTCGCCAATTTGTCCACAAGAGGATAAAGCACTTATTTTCAACTCTGCAGCTAGCAGTGCACCTTCCTGTGTGAGAGAGCGGCCCCATACGATGACGTCACGTAACTATTTATAAAGTTTCTTCATTAGGCTTCTTTATGCACACAAGCGTCACGCCTTTTATATTCCCCGTAAAGAGTGTGAGTTGCCTGTCAATCAAGCTGTTGCTTTAAAATTCTTCTGGCTGATAACACAGAGGCTCATTTATTGGACATTTTATCAGCAATTAACTATAATCTATGGATAAATTGAGTGCAGAACTTAAGGCAAAATAAGTGCAAATTCAAATGTAAAACGATGGTTGTTTTTGCAATCATCGGTGGCCAGGCTGAGACCATCATCTTGCCGCAATTGAGAATCGGGTTTAATTACTGGCATCTGGATTCGAACCACAGTGGTACCAGCCCATTGCTCCGATCCTGAGCCACCTGGTCATTCCCTTCCCAGTTTTGACCAGGGTAAGCGGTGATGCTTTCTGCACACTCAATTACTCTAGCCTACAGTTTTGGGTGTAATTGACAATAAAATGTGAAATAAATAAGCCAGAAGATGGCCCTGCCGTGTTAAATAAATAACCATAATAATAGCATTACCAGGCCATTGGGTGAATGTGCCTTATGCTAAATGCACAGGCAGAGCTCGCTCGTGCGTGCTCACAGCTCACTTGAGCACTGAGTGTTATCACAGCCGACTAATTAATTACCTTGGCTGAACATTCTTATTTCTGTGCCAATAACACTTGCATTATTTACCTCCAGAGCAACTTTCTAGGCCACACCTGCATGTGTATTTGTGTGTTCATGTGGCATAGTACAGTGTGATGATGACAGAAAGTGTGCTCTCTCTCCTCTCCCTGCAATGCCGCCCTCACTCACATTCCCCTCTCCTGATTTCTTTACCCCCCGACGTGAACATCTCCCCATCGTTGCGTGTGCTGTCTTTCTATCCTGTCTTTTCTCCGATTGTTGTCCCACTTCTGTACACTCCCCTGCCATTCCAATTACCTCTCCCTGCCCTGTCCCCCTTTGCACCATGTCCATCACTTCTCCACCTTCCACCTCGTGTCTATGCGACTCAACGTGGTGCAGAACACCGCAGTTCGCGAGCGTCTCGCAGGCCAACAGCGTCGAGCTGCCCGGCTGCTTCTTCCTGAAGTTCCCGGCGCCTGTGCCGGTGTCTGAGGCCACCGTGAAGCAGCTGCAGTTGCTCACAGGTCCACACTGCAGACACACGGCACCGCACCCGAGACACCGTACCCAAGATTGATGCTGCGTATCTGCAGTACTGGGGGTATTACAATTGAATTCCTCTTATCCGAGGCTGCATTATACGATACTCTGATTAATGTGTGGCCTGCCAAACGTATTTGAAAGTACATTTTTGTCCTTGAGGAAGAGGTTCCCCAACCCTGGATAAAGTCAGTCTAATATCCACACATCAACGGATAACCGTGTTGATAAAAGGAGTAATTTTCACAAATAAACTTGGAAAATCGATTTCGCTACCAGTGCCCACATCAGCTTGGACGAGAAACAGTTTCATGAAATTTCACAGACAGTGGGAATTCCCCTCTCATCACAGAGGTAACTGACCCTGCCCTTGGTCCATCGCAGGTGTGAACGTGGACCCCGTTGGGGAGAGGGACCACATGTTTGTGCTCATCCGCCGCTGTGCACTCGACAAGGTGCCCAGCGGCGGCAGCACCGCCGACTCGAATGTGAGCGGCGGCGCAGGAGATGCCAGCTACCACACCGTGGTGAGTCTCACCGCACGTCCCCGGTGCACGTGGGCCCCGGTGGGGTACGTGGGACGCGGTCAACCGCTCACCTTGCACTTGGGTAGTTGGATAGGAGACCACTTCGCACTTGCAGAATGCTTTCGGTTAGTGTATGAACAACCCAAAATAAGTGGACAAAAAAGAGAGTAGTCTCAGGCACAGTTTAGCTTTTCAACTTTGTTTATTCTTGTTTGTTGGGTGCATCGTTCATACCGCATTATTTTTCCTGGCACCTAGAGATGCACTGCATGGGAGGCGCGGTATAAATAATGCATAATAATTCTGATGTTCATTTTCTACCCAACATTGATTTAATTTCGGTTCGATCGTTTTTCCCCTCTGTGAAGACCCTGCCAGACCAGAAACACGACTACTTCCTGAACGTGGGGATGGAGGGAGCCACGGCGACGGCAGACCTTGGAGGGGTAGCGGCCCCTGAGACGCGGGGGGTCCTGGTCGCCAAGATCCCCTTCGTTCACCCGAGCCAGGTCCCCGCCGTGCTGGCAGCAGTGCGGCGCCAGGCGCTCTACAACGCGCTGCTCGCGTCCTGCATGCGCGGGGACGCTGCACCCCGCTGCGGAGGTGAGCGAGCGGGTTCGCGGATTCGGGCGTGTGTGTGTGTGTGTGTGCCACGTTCACACCCACCGCATCCGATTGATCAGGCGTCATTACATCCGTATGAGGCAGCACGGCAGTATAGGTTCCAAAAGCCATTGTCGGTGAGTTGAATTGTGGCTTGTATTTTATGTCGTGGGGAAAAGCGAGCGCAGTGGTTAGCACGCCGGCTACAGTGGCGAGTGATATCTGAATCGGTTATGGACCCCCCCACCCCCCACCCCGTCCTCCACAAACCTGCAATTTACCAGCGTGGTGATGTATGGTCAAACAACCCCCATGTGGATGGAGGGTGGCTGACGATGACACTTACACTTCCTTTTTCTTTTCTCCCCAGAAGAGTTGTCGGGGCGGATCCAGTTTGAGGTGAACCCACTCACCCACACGTCCTTCACCGTCTCCTTCCAGCACCCCAAGCATGACACGCTGCTCAGCGGTGAGTCCCACCCTTCCTCGTCTGCACCGCCCCCCTCATTTTTAATATCTAGATCGCTTCTCAAAAAATAAGCGAATAGCCCAGTGTGCTTTACCTGGTAAGATAAAAATTAGTTTAAGTTTTATTTGTAATATTTTAAGTGATTTTTTTTACCTTTCCTATACTCCTATCATGTTTTTGTATTGTTTGTTGTTGTAACTTTCTTACCCGCCCTTACCCGACATCTGTGCACAAGAGCTTTATAGCTCATTGGATTTCCCAATATAAATAAAGATTCTGCATTCCGAGGGTGCATTGTTGGTGGCGGCCTCGCGTGCCACCCATTCGTGTCCAGTTTTGTCCTCGCAGGGCAGGCTTTTCTTTTGCGAGGATCCTTGGTTGAAGTGCCCGGTGGGCTTTCACCCGGTGTGAACAGAGTTGTTGTGGTGTCGCGCGTGTGTGTGTGTGTGTGTGGCGGCTGGAACGGCTGCAGTGCTCGTTGAGGTGTCCGAAGAGGCGCAGGTCAGCGCCAAGCTGTTCACCAGCCCCGCCGATGGGCCCTTCTGCACTGACGACTACCTCTCCCGTGTGGTGCAGCGGTAAGCGCCCTGCTGTGTCGCTGCATCCTCTTGTTGTCATCATAGTCGGCCATGATAAATCCATTGCTAGATGAAGGCCTCCCCAAGCCGTCGTGATTCCTTATTGGATGCGTTCCCTCTGATGGCTGTCTCTCAGTTGGCACCAAACCCGCTGGGCTTTGATATAGCCAGTAGATGGCAGTACAAGAATTAAATGTCGCGGATTCATGTGTTACACTTTTTCGAGCGTGGCGCTCCAGTTTCCTCCGACGTGCAAAATATTCCTGAGAAAGGAATTTTCCAAATATCCCAATGCAGTAGTCCCCGGAAACAAAAAATCTTGAAAGTCATTGAGGCTTTCGTGGATAAATAATGGGCATTAATATAAGGGTATCTGTGATCTGGCGATACTACAAAGTGTTGTACGATATAAATCATTGATCACCGTATCTTGTAGCAAAACATTGTGATTATTACTCACACTGGAAGTACAGCAAAGTGCAGAAACAGTTAAATTTAAATTCAACGCACATATACAACAATACACGAAACTGATATCACGATCATTGTCTTGTTGTGAAAACTGATATTGTATAACTTTACGTGGTGAAAAATTATAATGCGGCAGCCCTAATTATCATCACTACTCACGGCTGGGCACCCAACACCCCTCTAACCTTGATGCCGGCTTATGTGCTAATTTACCGCGATTACACAGTGCCGTCTCCGTTTCCCCTCCGCCTCTCCCCATTCCCTCGACCCGCCAGCTGCGCGTCGCTCCCCGTGACGATGCGCGCCGTCTACAAGAAAGCGGAGACGGCGCCCGTGAACCCCGCGCGGCCCAGCAACACGGCGGAGACGCGGCGCGCTCTCGCCGCCCTCGCCTCCAACCTCGACGCCACCCTCGAGGAGTTGCACCGCAGCCACCCCGCGGCAGCGGCGGCGACGGCGGCGCCGCCCGCCGACGCGCAGCGCCACCACCAGCAGCAGCGGGCGCATCTCACGGCGGCTGCCGCCTTCGCACAGGTGCAGGACGGCCTGGGCGGCACTGCGTACGGCGACGGGCAGGCCGCCGGCACCGCGGCTGGCCTCTCGTCGGCGGCGGCGGCGGCGCAGCAGCACGGCGTGGGCCTCTCCTCCCCGGCCGCCGCGGCCTTCTCGGTGGGGAACCTGGGCGGTGCGTCCCACCACCTCGACTCGGAGTTCTGCAAGGTGGCGCAGAATCCCATCCTCACCAGTCTGCTGATTCCGGGCGCGCACGGCAGCGGCGGTGGTGGCGCCGGCGTGACCGTGTCGGGCGGCTCTTTGGGGCCGCCCGGCGCGGGTGGGCCAGCCTCACAGACGCCGACGACGCCGGTGACCCCGACGGCGCTAGCGTCGCCATCCAGCACCAAAGCGCATCCCATGCTTATGACACTGCTGCGCGACTCACCCGCCGGGGAGGGGTCGACCTTGCTGCTCGCGGCGCCTGCGTCTGCGCCATCCTCCGCGGCCTCGTCCACGATGGCAACGTCCGTGATGTATGGGGGTGGCGGTGGAGGGGGAGGAGCAGGAGGTGGGCAGATGCACCACCACGGTCAGCTGCATCAGCACACGCCTTACCACCACCATCACCACCAGCAGCAGCACCACCACCATCACCACGGTGGTGGTGCTGGCGGCATGGGGGTGGACTCGTCATCCCCGCCGCTGCACTGGAAGCCTCGCAAGAAGAAGCGCTCGTCCAAGTCTCCGCGCGACCCGCAGAGCGAGGACGAGTTCCAGAAGGAGCTGTCGGCTGTCGAGGGTGACGAGTGCCCCGTTATCGGCGGCAGCGGCGTGCTGGAGGGCTCCCCCATGGGCGCCCCTCCTCCGCTGCCTCCTCAGATGCAGCCACCCAGCCTGCAGCAGCAGCAGCAGCATCTTCCGGGCTCTGCGCAGCAGTCGCACCACCATGGGATGCTCGGCCACGTTCACGTGGCATCCGACGCGAGCAGCATCCTTGAGCAGGACCTGGGCAGCATCCTGTCGGAGATCCAGTGGCCGCATGGCGGGCAGCAGAGCGGGATGGGCGGGCCAGAGGGCGGGGGTGGCGTGGGGCCCGGGGGGCGGCGGCCCAGCCTCGCCGACGACCCCTGCGGCTCTCCCGTCGACCCAGAGCTGCTGTTCGGCGTGCCCTCCAGCACGGCCATGGCCGACTTCGACTCGCCGCTCAACGCCAACGTGTTCACGCCGGACAGCGACGACAGCCTCCCCGACCTCCTCATGGAGGGAAATCTCCAGCCCAAGGCCGGCAAGGCAGGCCAGGGCGTGGACCCGTACACGCCGTTTCCCGGAGCGTCCGGCGGCGAGCAGGCGCCCTTCGCGGCGGACGTCGCGGGCAGCCGCGCGCGGGCGGAGACGGAGAGCTCCGAGACACCGGGGCAGGCTGCCGGGAAGATTGGGGGAGGGGGCGGCAGTGGTAGCGGTGGCTTGGGGGCCCCGACAAGCGTGGCGGAATACATGCAGTCGGCGTTCCCGCTCTTCAGCACCGTGGAGGTGGCGTCGGTGAAGGTCGCGGGGGCGTCGGGCCCCGCCCGCGACAGGGAGCAGCGCGGCGAGCGTGAGCGGGACGACACGCCCAAGGGCGTCAAGCGGGAGCGTGACCCTTCGGAGAGGCCGCGCAAGGACAAGCCGCCCAAGAAGAAGAAGCGTGACCGCGGAGACGGCGAGTGGAGGTTAGGATCCAGCCTTGCCTCCTCGGGGGGGTCGTCGTCCTCCGTGTCGCATCACGTTCGATCGCAAACACCGCCCGCCTCCACCGCACCCTTGAAGATCACCATCCAGGTGTCCACCAAGAAGGTGACGCTCGGAGGGCAAAGTAGTAGCAGCGGCAGCAGTGGGGGAGGGGGTAGTGGAGGAGGTGGGGGTGGTAGCGGCGGAGGTGGTAGTGTAGGTTCATCGCTTACAGCCACGGGGAAGAGCTCATCTTCGGCGTCCGTGGTCGCGTCTCCGAGCCGCCAGAGCACTCAGTTTGTAGGCAAGATAAAGAACAACAAGACCGGCTCTTCTTCTGGGGCACCCATGCTCAAACCCTGGTCTACGCACGGAAGTAGTGGCACCAACAGCGGCGGCACCAGTGGGGGCAGTGGAGGTTTCCAGAAGTCCGGCGTGTCGTCGCAGCCGCATGTGACGCGCCCCGTGCATAACAACACTATCCGAATCAAGACTCCGCCAAAACCCCCTCCCCTCGCCTCGGGCCTGAGCAGCAAGCCTAGCGGCTCGCCATCGCACTCAAGGTTGGTGCCAGGCTCGGCCGCCGACCGACAGCACATGGTGAAGGGTCCGCCGGGCGCGCCGCCCCCCATGAAGCTGAAGACACCGGGAAGCGGAGGCCCCCCCATGTCCGGCGGCGGCTCTGGCGGCATGGGCAGCCACTTCCGTGGCTACAAGATGGGGCCGTCTCACCCGCGCAACGTCCAGGGCGGCGTCTCTGGTTCATCCTCGGGCCACGGCCTATCAGGGTCCGGGCCGGGATCAATGTCTGCATCAAGAGCTGGCTCCGGAGGGCCGGCTCCTGGCTTCAAGGTGTCCAGCCCTACCGTGTCGGCGCCAGGTTCCGTCTCCTCGCTCCCGTCGAAAACAGGCCGCTCGCCGAGCCACAGGTCATCCCTGACGGCCGTTATCGACAAACTCAACCACAAGGTGTCAACTACGGGCCATGGCGACGAGGTGGTGCAGCCCCCGCCTCGTGAGCGGATGCAGGGCCCTGGCGCGGGCCAGTCCGGCCCACCAAAATCTCACCCGCAGCAGCAAGCAGCATTTGACGAGGCGTGCAAGCGTGATCGAGACACCAAGGTCGGCGGTGCACCACAGGACGGCCCCAGAGCGAGACCCGACGAGGCGCGGAGCAGCCCCGCTTCGGCCGCAATCGGCGGAGTGGGCAGGAGCGAAGGCGGTGGCTCATCTCCCGCCAACTTCAAGCACAAGTTGGTGACGGCTGGCGGCAGCGGCGGCGGGGGTGGCGGCGGCATTTCCGTTTCAAAAGGGGATGACACGGGGCCGTCCCGACTGTCAGCGTCTGCCCAGGGCGGCTGGGGCCACGATGTAACGGGCTCGGGTGTGACCCGCGTGCCAACTCCCGTGTCTGCCTCCTCCACGCCCAAGGCGGCCGAGCCGCCAGCGTCGTGTGCAGCCGGAGACTCGAACTCGCAAGTGAGCGGCGGTGGCGGTGGAGGTCTGTCGAGGAGCCAGCAGGCGAGCGGGCTGAGCCACTCGCTGGGCGGCGGCTCTATGGGCAGCGGTGGAGGCAACATCGGCAGCGACAGCCCCAGCTCGGAGGATGACAGCGTGATTCTCATCGGGGGCTTTCCATCAGCGGAGCGGCAGCACGGCAAGGGCAAGCACAGGAAAGAGCTCGCCAAGTCTGGCGCCGACTCAATCACCACCGGCATGGGATCGTCAAAATCGCCGGCCGTTTACGACCAGGCCCTGCCGGGGAGCGTCCAGGCCACGCCCACATCTCCAGAGGTCATTGCCATCGACCTCATGGATGAGGCTCTCATCGGGAGCTCTCGCTGAGCCCTCGGTCCAATACTCCCAACCCCATCCACTGCCTTCACCACCGCTGTGCTCCCGCCCGGAACATTGGGGTAGCTTTGTCATGTTGGAGTTGCTGAGCGCTGGCGTGTGGGCGGCGGTGTTTGGTCTGAGTGGCGGAGGTGTGAGGAGGGTAAGGGCGGTTGCCCCCCCCCTCCCCGTTTAACTGTCGGTTGACTGGCGTTAATTGAAGGAACGTGGCGTGTGCACGTGTCAAGGTTTGTGAACCCAAATTGGTTTGTTATCACGGTCCTGTGTGTTTTTTTATTTGTTTTATAAACTTAAGTCATCGTTCATCTCATCATTAGGCTAACGTCACTAATTATTAACGTTCGTGCTGTTAAATGACATATATTCATATATCAAGTCAAATGAAAGTATCCATTTGAGTATTAGGTGAGGCTTATCTCCATTGGCGGTTCTGAGCAGGTGGTAGAAATTCTACATCACAGTGTTTATTCAAAGGACAAACACTGCCTTACTTCCACTGAGTGGATGCACTAGATGGTACTCATTTTGCCAATCACATTGGGATGATATTCTGAATAATTATAATTGTCCTAAATCATGTGGGATGCTGTAATGGTAAACACTGGACTTACAATACAGAGAGATCACTGGTTCCATTTCCCAGCGCGGCAGTTTCAACAATGGACAAGTTTATTCAATTGCCTCTGTCCACCCAGCAGTATAAATGGGTACACCACAGTCAATCAGTAGGCCACGTGTAGTGGGGTAAAGTTTACGTACTTTCACCTATTTCAAAATATCTGGTCAGCATGGGAAAGTAGTCCAAATGCCCTTTGGATGGGCTCTCTCGAGCTCCCCATAGACACCCTTCTCCCAGCAGTGGTGTGAGCAAGCAATTTCTGGGCTGCACCTGTACCCTTTGCGTGAATTAATATGCTGTCTGTTTACTCGTTTAAAATTATTTTAAAAGGCCACTCTCGCCTATAGCCATGGAAAAAAGGCTTTGGAGCCCTAGATGTCCCAACTGCAGTGGATGTGACGTCTCGTAAGTTACATTCCGAAAGAGGCGCAGTCTATTTCATGAACCATTTAAACAATGTGAGGCGCATGCCGATGTATTACAAATATACAGTATGTAATTGCTATCTTTTAGATGACTACGTGCACATTTTTATTTTAAATAGTATTATATTTTGTGTTTGTCTTATGCAAGAACCGCTAACTGTATTGGAAAGTTTTAGAATGTGAATGAGGTCAATTTATAAATGGCACGCAATGCGAATCTTGCCCGGAGTTCAGTTTTATCTGCAGGCTGGGTTGTGGCGCGCATGCATCTCTAACATACACATGCAGGTGGCCAATACAGTGTGTCCTCAATAACATGGTGGGGGGGGGGGGGGGGGGGGGCTCTACCGTGTCCTGTACACGACAGTGTTTTTGGGGTGGGGGGACCCCAGCGAAAAAATTATGTCAAAAATAGTACTCCCGAATTTAACAGCCTGCAGAACAGTTCTGACTTCCTGTTCGCTGTGTCTCCATCCTACGCAGAAACACCACGCAGTTTGGTGCTGTGCTGTATGGTGACTACTGTGGTGTTGGATTGTCCTCTCGACAATTGGCTTGTGATATTCGGTAGTTTTAATTGGTGTTTTTGTTTTGTTACTATGGAATAAATTTGGTCTTTGTGGATATAACCAGGATTTTTAAGAAAAGAGATATGCTGGGGCAACCGCCACCATTGCATTTATATGGTAATTGAAGGCCATGCTGCAGTTAGCTTTCATGGAAATATTAACTTGATCAGGCTCCCAAGGTAAGATTGAGGACTGTCCTTCCAAAGTGTGACTTTTCGAGGTGGCAAAGGGTGATTGATCCCCACCAAAATGAAATAAAAATATTGGTTTTAATCTTCAGTGGGTTACAACCTAGCCTCTAATCATACCACACAAATTTAATATATGCCCATAAATTGTCTTCACACGTCATTCACTGGTACGCGTGTCTTGAGACCACAAAAACATTGTCCTTGTGTTAGCGACGCATACTCGAAGGCACAGCCAGAACAACCGCTGCTAGGCAGGTCATAAATATTGGTCACGTTTTTGGCATGGAACACGGTGGGAAGCCTTGCTGTATCCTGTTAAGTGGCTTTTCCCTGCATGGATGTGTTGCTCTTCTGTCGATTGCGGCTGCCAAAAGTGGATTTTTGTAAAAAAACAAAAGGTTGATAATGCAAAACACCAGGAGATGGAAGAGTTAAAGTTATGTCGTGCGTTAAGATGTCGGTTTTGTAGCCTTGATATGTAGTGTGCACGCGTGTCATTTGGCAATACTACATCCACAAAAAACAGGCAAAACATTTTGAGAACACAATACTGTAATGGGAACTAGCTCACAAAGTAAACATTACATACCCATGTTTGTTGCACAAATTAACTGTGGGTATAGGGTACAATTAGTATACTACACCTCGAACCCAAAGGCCTAAGTTTGATTGCTGGTGTAACCGGCGTGGACTTGTCTACAGTGAATCGCACATGTGATTGTGCACGGGGCAGTGTTTTGCACTCTGGCAGTCACAAGTTGCTGTTCTGTGTTACATCCTGCCGTTTCATGAGGCGTCTGCACCTTTCATGCGGTGCAGTAGTGACTCAAGGATTGGACCCTAGGCCACACGTGCACATTGGACCACGCCCGGACTGCTGTTGTGTGGGGTTCATGTACGGGGGCTGTTCAGTGCTGGCTCGGCGAGCGACTGTGTGATTGAATAGCGTGGTGTTTTGTGGCGTGTGGGCTGTGGTGGCTCTTGGTCACCGTTTGCAGAGATGCTAAAGCTACCCAGGAGAGCACTTGAATAAAGTGTTGCCGTTACAAGACCCACTCGTCAAGTTGTCCAGTCATCTCGACCAACCGCGTGATGCGGAGAGAGACACGAACACAACATCGAATAACATATATGGTCCCTGAATGCTTTTTTTTTGCCGACATGTCTTCTCGTTATGATCACGCCAGGGAGGGAGGAAGGACCAGCGACACTGGCCATGGATAACTTCAGTGGCAAGTTATGTCTGAACCGGTCATGCCCCCACATCCCACCAACTCACACTGACCAGTGTGGCCAATACTGCGTGGGGGAGACCTTAAGCAAGGGGGCGAGACAAAATTATTCATCGAATATTGCATTGATATGGGATACTACATTGAGAAGTCAAGTTGTGCGATTCCCTCTTTTTTCAAATCACACTTTACCAAAACTGTTTTACTGCTCCTTGTACAAACTGCCCACCCTGACGAGAGAGATGATGTGCTGTAATGTAACGGTAATAACGGTGACGCGTTCTTGAAATGTTCAAGCAAGGCAATGTTTCAGCATTTGCATGTTCAAGCTGGCATGAGTCATTCTTGGTTTTATATGTTTTAGGTAGCGCTTTTAAAACCAATGGCTTTTAAGTTGTAATGTAATGAACAAATTTAAATACAATTATATTTCAACTTTTGCAAGCTTTCCTTTGTGCTTATTTTTTTACCACATTTTATTCATGATTGTGAAACACGTGATATTCAGTGACGTCACTTGTTAGCCAGAAGACGTAAGGGGCCGTACATAAATGACGTCACGAACCTAGGAGGGGGGGTCAGACATTTGTGACGATGTGTGACGAGGGGGGGGGGGGATGAGAAATGTGACGACACATCAAAATGCGCAACTTTAAATAAATATAGACAACACGTTCTACTTAATTAAATAGACTTTTTAATAAATGTTTTCTCCTACAACATCAGAGTGCAGCGCCACATTAAATAAGCACTACAATGACAATAGTTTAAAGCGATTTGAAGCATGTTTTATTTTTGAGGGGGGGCAGTGCTTTGTGACGTCATATTTGAGGAGGGGTCTGACTTTTTGTGACGCCGTGTGACTAGGGGGGGGGGGGGGGCAAGTCAAAAATCGTCAAAAATCGCGTGACGTCATTTATGGACGGGCCCCTAATCCGAAAAAATGAAATTCAAAATCCGACAATGTTGAATCTCAAAAGGTATCCCGAGTTTTTGCCGAGTAGGGTTCCCCTCAAGGATTAGGCATTGGGACAGGCCCGGTCAGAGGACAGCACTGCAAAACAAGAACACATTTGCAGTGTATTCAGCATACTGTGGAACGACACCTTGTTACAAACATTTCGCCTGTCTCTATAATTTCACAAGTATTAATGAAGAATGCACTGCATTTCTGATAATGCTGAGATGGGAATGGTGCTTGCGGTTCTCCCACCTTCACGTGCTGAAGATGGGCGCACCGTCCAAGCGTCTACACTTTTTCTTTTCAAGGGCCTGTATTCAGTTGGATAAAAAATAACTGAAGTCACTATTCTTTTAGCATTGCACACCATTGCGAAAGACGGTGAATCGACATTTGAAAGCCAAGTGACGACTTAAGGTGATGACACAATTTATTGTTGCTGGTGCTGTGCCTCCGTTGATTTTCCGAAGTTGACGGTGGTTCTCAATGTGCCCTGTTCTTTGATTGGGATCTCTGCAGTCGCCGAATTCTGGTCTTATTGAGTATCGGTGTTCCATTGTTTTTCAGTGAAGGTCGGCACCAGGTGATTCATTGGTGGGTTCCGATATTAGATTTGTTCGCATCGCTATTAGCCCAGAGTTGTCTCCAAGATGATACTGTAATACTAACGGTAACTTTTAACCCGCTCAATTTTTGTGAATGGACCGCAAAGTTCCAACGCGACTTGGAGGCGCGGAGCCAAGCTCAGAGTTTATTTGAAAGCTTTCTGGAAGACAACCTTCACGTGATTCACCTGTCAAGTGTTTCTCAAACGCTGTCATAAACTTGGCACGAACGTGGGGGAAGAGTAAGAATACATGCACGGTGCAAATTCCCACCCTGGACGTTTTACACGCCACACAGATATATCTCCGAGTTATTACACGGAGTCTACAATTACTGCAATGTCGATTCATAACATGACAAATCTTCCAAACGAAATGAAATCATCACACAGCCAGTACCTTTAAAATATATTCTGAAACTCGATTTACATTAATAATGACTACGCATGCGCTCAATAGGTACCCAACCCCAATTCCTGCACAGGCATCATAAGGGCTTTGGCAAACGTAGCCCACATGCTGCGTGTTCTACACAACAGGGCCATTGTTAGTTAAACATTGGTAACACATTGGGATTCATGCAGTATTGTATGTGTGGTCGTGGTGCTTGGTGTGTCCTCTTGTGCGCCATGTAATCTGTTGTTTAGGTAGGTCTTAATAATTCAATAATTATCTCTTTCTCATTGTCTAAGAGTAAGTTATCTGTGTTAATCATAGGACCTCATATCCCAAAAACTTTCATCAATCTCAACAGCAGGAAACAGGATTTCATCGGTGGTGAGTTATCTCTGAACCAGTCCCGGACCTACCCTACGTTGACTTGGCCTTAAAAATATATATATTTGGTGCAGGTAAGTTCTGGAGACATGAGCACCCGGTAGACAAAGGCAGTCGGTCATGCATGGTGCTGCCTACACCAGCGCCTCGTGCGCCGTGCCGGCAGATCAGTGCACCCCCACAGCACTTGCTCCGACAGCTTGTGTAGCTATAGGAGGATCTTTGTGTGTCTGTATGTACATATATCAATAGGCCTTTGTGCCTGCCACTTTTGGCTGTGAACTGCTTTACTATGGTTCACTGCTGCCCCCCCCCCCCTCATCATTCACCACATGTAAATTTGCCCTGAATGTGAAACGAATCTCTCGAAGCTGGAGGGGAAAACCTCTTAAATTGACAACACTGCATGGGTGGCCGTGCGAGTGGAATTATGGGTTATGCGATCGTGTGGTATGCATGACAGTCTGTATTTAATTACACACTGATTGAAGTTCCCACGATGTAACCGTGTGAGCTGATATCCATGCACGCATTGCTCACTTTGGGAATAGCAATTTTGCTTCGGTGATGTGCATTGCGTGTTAATAAGATCCTCATGCGTTTGTTATCAGCCATGGTCTGTCCACTGCTGGATTAAGGCCAGTTAAGGCTGTCACTATCTCTCACGCTCTCAATATGCAACAATCCATATAGCTCCTGCACATAAGCTAAATTCATGGCCATTATCTCGGGTGTGTCCCTGCATTTAGCCGACATGCCATGCTCAGTCTCAAGTACCAGGCGATCACCCCCTTACAGCGACATCTGATCAAGACCACTTACAACATGAGAGACTGGAGAAAACCACGCAAAGATGATTCACAAATTTCATCCCAATT